GCTCTGAAGTAACTCCTGGGGGTTCTTCCTTCTCTGGGGAAATGCCCCCTGGCATGCAGGTAAGGTGTTGGCAGACCAGCGAGAGATTTCTTCTGCTTGTGCCGGATGTGAAGCACAGACCACAACCCAGAGCATCCTCCTCAGCAGCGGGGGGGAGCGGTGAGTCAGCGTGCCCATGAGCTTTGGGATAGGCAGACTGCAAAGAGTACAGGATAAAATCCTTCCTGCCCCTGGCTTTATGAGGACAGCACTGTGCTGCTGCCAGTTGTAGCAGCTCAGAGCGCCCAGGTGCTGTGCAGTCAGGTCTGTGCACGTGCAAGCGAGTAAATCAGAGTGCAGCTAAAATCACACAGCTTACTGCTAGAGAAGTGAAACATAGCAGAGCCTGGCTCTTATGCAAATACAGAAACATGCTGGGCAAAGTCACTGGTGAAAGCTGAGGACAAAGCAACCTCTGAATACTTGGGAAAGTGGTGTGAGCAGGTGATGGGCTCACCCTGGTCCAAAAAAGGGGCTTGCTGTTTATAGTCCAAAGCTGAGCCACTCAGTGCCTTGGCTTGCTTGGTAACTGGTAACAATAACACAACACAAACCTCAGCAGCAGCCCCTTTGCCAGGCCTGGCTCTTCTTAGCCCACGCTCTGGTTCTTCTGACTCTTCTGCATGTCTGCCTGGGATGGGGCTTCCATCCACTGTGCTGGTGGGGGTAAGCTCCTCTGGAGGTTCATAATATATGAAGGTTCGTACCCACTGGGGGAAACCTTCCCTCCCTGCCACCCACCCACACAACCCGTCTTCAGTTTAGTATGAACTTACCTCAGAATCTAACGTTTGCTTGGCAAGGGAATTAGTATAACCGTTTGTATCAATATTAGGGTATTTTCAAAGACCTGCTGTAGTTTGGCTATAACAAATACTTTGTCTTGAGAAAACGGGCAACCTAGGTGGCTGGGCAGAGAATGGCATTCATTCCCTTCTTGTCCTAGTGAATTGCCATTAGGTTACAGCCAGATACTAGTTTTGACATGAACACCACATGCCAATTTGGTACGTATTGAAGGCATAAAAAACAACCACGACAACAAAAGTAACCTCCTGTGCTCAGCATCCCCCTACCTTCCACCTTTTGTAAACCTGGGCAGGAGGTCAGCTGGTGGTGAGTGCCTCTAGTAACGAGCTGCTGCAGACACTCATTATCCTCAGCTATGCTCAGGAAGAGAACGCAAAGACCATCTACATATGCTAATTCATGGCTAAGGGTTGTTTGCTCATTTACACCTGTGCTATTAGCTTCTCTGTAAAAAAAAAAAACAACAAAGGTTTTGCAAGACCAACTGGCTTCTTAATGCCTTACCTGCCCAGCAACAAAGTCAACAGCGAGCTGGATGTGTGCTCTGTGAGCACAAGTCCTGAAGGCTCTGAAACAGGATGCTTCAATCTTTTTTTTTTCCTTCCCTCTTTTTTTTTTCAGATTCCTGAGTCCCCTGAACATGCTTATTGGCGGTACTGTGGTGGTCCTGGTGTTCATGGGGTTTGTGTGGGTGTCGCACAACAAGGACATACTCCGCAGGATGAAGAAGCAGTACCCAACCACGTTTGTAATAGTCATCATGCTGTCGAGCTACTTCTTGATCTCCTATCTGGGAGACGTCATGGTGTTCATGTTCGGGATCACTCTTCCTCTCCTCTGTAAGTAATTCTGCTGTTCTCTAAGCTGAGGGTGAGGGCTGAACTGAGCTTTCTCAAATAAGCCTGCAAAGTCTAAAGTGGCTTGTGGCTTTAAATCTCTTTATTTAAATTGTCCCCAACCAAAAAATCAGGGGTGGGAGGGAGGGGACACAAACCAGCACAAGCTATCTTCAGCATTATTATTATTAAATGGGTATTTGCAGTTACTTAAGCAGTAATTTAGACATCATATTCCAGTGATGTCATGGCTTTGGGGTGTGTCTTAAGATGGATGCTGCAAGAACTATGCTTTCATTGGACACAACCAATTAATAAGCACGTTTCTGTTATGCAGTGATGTTCGTCCATGCTTCTCTGAGGCTCCGGAACATAAAGAACAAGCTGGAGAACAAAATGGAAGGAATAGGTTTGAAGAAGACCCCGATGGGCATCATACTGGATGCCCTAGAACAGCAGGAGGATAGTATCAACAAACTGGCTGACTACATATCGAAAGCAAAGGAGTAAGCAACTGCAGCATGGTGATTTGCCTGTTGCAGGAGTGTAATTGCTATTTACTATTGTTCGAGCTTGCTTTCAGTTTGTGTACAAAACAAGAAATGCACATGTGGTACATACAGATTAATAATTGCAGGATACAGGTATTCCAAGGTATTCAGGGCTCCTCTAAGAATATAAGAAGAGTAACTTTTTTCTATTGTATAGCAAAATGTTTTGGTGTTTACAGAAATACATCCCAACTTAAACGTGTTTGCTCGTCTCTTCTTCTTGGGGGCTAGAAGGGGAAGAGATGGAAACCTCTGGAATGCAGCCTCTCAGACAAACTGTCTTGTAGCACGGTTGTTAGTAAGAGTAACACCCCTTTCATCCCAGTTCTACAAGGCGGCTGTCTAGCCAGTTTGGTTTGGGGTGTAGCACCTTCAGGCTGGCAGTGTTCAAGGTGAGCTGGAATCTATCAAACATACGTTTTCTTGCATCTAAACCCCTGACTGCAGGGGTCTGTACTGAGATCAGGCTGCTGGCTTAACTGGCAAGCAGGAAAAACTGTGCAATACGTGTAACCAATATGGGTTCCTGTCCTCACCTCACATTCCTCCTTTGGTAGCTGGGAAACAGTCAAAATAGATCTAAGCATGGAGAATAGATGTGGCACTGTGCCGCTCAGTTCCAGTAAAACACACCATTGTTTTTCCTGAAATCCTGATTCTGTTACCCCCTGAAACTGCTGTTCTCTGCAGGAGAGTCAGAACTTCCTCATGTAACACCTGAACTATGGCCAAGCATGGGAGGAAAAACGGTTGTGCATAAGCTAGACGAGCTAGGTTTCTACCCCTGCTGATGTTTTTAAACATTGCTACTTTAGGACTTACCTTGTTCTGCTTCATTCTGTATAGGCTGTTTTGTAGATGAAGGTGGATGTGTGTTTTTGTGCGTGGTTCTTTTTCTTCTTAACCAGAATGCAAAGATACAAGTAAAACATGCATCTCGCTCACTCTAGTCCTAACACTCTTCAAAGGAATAAACTGGATTTCAGGTTTACAAATACAAGCAATAAATGTCAGGATACAATTATTGAAGACCCATTCCAAATTCATCAAGATACTTGCCTGTAACAACTCCTTAAAGTGGTGTGTGGGATTCTTTTATATGTATTTTAATCAAACTGCCAGCTCTGATGGGATTGTCTTGCTAATAGGAGCTTACAGAATAAAATGGGGGAAAAGTTGTCCAGGTGACACTCCATTTCAAGTATTCTTGCATTTCTCTTTTTCTAATAAAGTAATTAAATAATCAAGCAAACATCCTTGAAGTTGAAGCTTTTATGTAACTTACCATGCTGTTTTCATAGTGAGCTGTGTAGAAATCTGAACATGTCATTCCATATAAGTGTTAAAGTGATCAGTATTTATTGAAAATAATTCCAGCTGAAGAGTCAATGGCCTGTTCCTCACTTGTAGAGCATGGTCTTTGTTTTTGAAAACTGTTTCCACACTTAAAGGTAGTAGCCTATGACTTCATCATTACTGTAGAATTTTAAAAACTGCACACTTACGAAGAAAAATAAACTCTAATGGTGACTGCTGAGTGCATTTATTTCAGGTTGGGAAGCGTGACTCTGAACTTAGGCTCACGGTTGTTCCCACGGCTGGTGGCCTCCCCAGGGTGGTGGTGGGAGCTCTGGTGTCACCCTACAGCTGCACAAACTGGTGACGAACGGCTGGGTTTGATTGCTCTGCCTCAGTATTAATGTTGCTGAGGCACGAGGGAGCTGCGTGTGAACTGCAGCAACAGTGCAGCCCTGCTCATCCTTGCTAGGCTGCAGAAGTGAAATATGTAAGCACTTGTTTGCATTGCTTCAGTCTCTTATATAACTCTTCTTAATTGCAATTTTACGTTTCTCCTAATTATGTGGGAGGGATTTCTGCCTGCTTCTACAATTACTCGGAGCTGTGCCCTGAGTAGCACTGGGGAGGCAGCTCTGCTGCAGTCAGGTGAGTTCTGGGGTCTCTGAACCCGGGTGCCTCCCTCCTGTGATCCCTTAGGAGCCTGCACAGTGAGGGAACACACCAGAGCAGGGCTTCAAGTCCTGATGTAACTTCCTTGGTAATACCTGTCAGCTCTGCGCTGCTGCTTGGGCTGTTCCTGGCTGAAGCACCTGTAGTGCTTCATTCGAGGACCTGCTTCTCAAGGGCAGCAGGGGCCTGTTCCCCACTTCCTGGCCTTTACAAAAAGAAGGGATGCCAAAAACAGGTGCATTGAAAACATTCCTTCCTTTTCTATGCCTCTGCTGTGCAGAAGCAGCTTTCCCTTTCCCCTTCTGTATTTCTTAAAAACTGCTTAGTATGTCTTAAATAATAAATTAACCAGATTTCCCAGGTGGGGCGCATTACAGTTGCAGGCAGAAGTACAGCTGAGACATGTTACAAGTTTAGAAGAAGACAGATTTGAAAGAGATCACCTGAAAGATGCAAAAAGGACAAGGAGAAAAGAAAACTTGACCTAATGCCAGTGGAGAGCACCTTGGATTCAAAGAGGTCCTGAACATCAGCGATTCCAAAGGGCTGTGATAGTATCTGTGGGGTGGCACTGGGATTCAGCTGCCAGAGCACTGTTGTGAAGAGCTACAGGGAGTGATGATCACAGTTCTTGAAGCAGTGCGATGGTGTTATCTTTTACACCCTCATCAGGTACAAAACCAACTACACTGTTCTGAAATGCACCAGCCTGGAACCATCACGCAGAGGTGCTGGATGCACCAGAGCAGCCTCTCTGTTCGGCAGGCCTCTTGTTAGCCACGGAAGTGCTGCACGCTTCTTGTGGATAAAGCTTTTATTTCATTTCCATTTCCTTAGCCTAAAAAATAAAGCTGTATACATGGAAACCAAATGCATTTCTCATGGACAAGAGAATAATCGAGGAGCGTGTGTGTGAAAAGAAAGATAAGCTAAAGCACAGCATGTTCCTGCAGAATCTGACAGCAGAAGGACAACATGGGAGCAAAACAGTTTACTGAAAAACTAGAAAGACTTAAGGTTATTGATGTCTCTGAGAAAATCCTCCCACAACAAACTGGAGCCTTGAATCCATTTGGCAGGCAGATGGCACGGGGATCGTTTGATACCTGATGGAAAACCTTAGCACTGATTTTTCCCATGCCAGCCTTTTTCATCACTCTTAGAAAAGTGCATATCTTTGTTCCCAAAGAGTCATTCATATACACCACCTGGGTTCTGCAGAAAACTTCTGCCAAAACAATTGTAAGCAAAACTTGAATAGTCTTTATTCCAAGTTGGTTTCTTTGGGTCAGTCTGGTCTCACTCCAGCTGCTTTGGTAATGGCACCTGGACAAGGACAATAAAGGAATATTAGGAGGGAATTTCTCAGTCCTATTTCCCAAACTAGTTTAGTTTAACGTAAACCTACAATCCTTTAGAAACTATGAAAGGATCAAAAATGCAACAGCTAAGAGTACTAGGGGGATGTGGTCAGGAATTAGGTTTTGTTTGTAGTTCCCCACTTGCTGTCTGCAATGTTTAATGCCCAGGAAATCCTTCTACAGGCAGCGAACCTCCCCACAGAGGCCAGATTGGCTCAGGCAGTAAAACCACTGTGCGAAGCTGAGGGTATAAAGGCAAAAAAAAAAAAAAAAAAAAAAAAGCAGTTACCAAAATGGCACAGGCAGATGAGATTAAAACCCTACCGCCCCAAATCCAACCCATCTGGCCTGGTGCCAGGTGGATAAAAAGATTAAAAAAATAAATAGTAGAAATCAGTACAAGTCTCTGTTTCCTCTTTCTGGGTGATCTGAGACACCCAGACACGGCTCCTGGCTCAGCCAGGAATCGTTACTTTGGCATAGACATAAATGAAAGCAAAGGAGGTGTGCGAGTGTGAGTGTGTCTGTGTGTGTGTGCACACCTGAGCTCAATTGCAGCACAGGCACACCTGTGTGCTGCAGCTGCCTCTGGCCCTCATCCTCCTGCTTTTCAGCAGCTTATTAACAACATTTAAAACTGGTGGTTAGAGCAACAACAACAAAAAAACATAATTTGTGCCTTTTGCAGAAAATCAGTATTGGACAGGACTAACTATTTATCTGAAATGCTTTTACACAGCTGTAAAAATGTGTTACACGTTTAGGCACTCCAGATAAAACCTTCCACCCATCCTGCTGCGAGGCTTCAAAACGCAAGGCAGAGGCTGGGACATGGAAAAATGCTGTAGAAGGGTCTTTGCAGCATCACTGCTAGAAAGGAGTCCTTATAGGAAGAAAATAACTTAAAAACTTTGAATCCCCTCACACCAAAGCTCAGTTTTGCTGAAAGCAGCCAGCCAAAGGCAGGCCCAGAGCGCAGCTGTACCCAACGCTCCTTTGTTTACCCCGACTGAATTTCCTCTCTTTTAACTCTACAATTGTGGAACAAGAGGTTAAAATCCCACACTATTGTTGGCATTTCAGGCTTCTTTCTGTGTTTATTTGTATGTTCGCCCTACGATGGGGCAAGCAAAACATGAGAGCAAGGTGGCATCTCCAGCAGATTCTGCCTTTCCTCCATGCAAACCAAAGCCCATCACAACCACCCCCTGCCCCAGGGATGATGCCAAAATCCAGCTGCACATCTCCTGGGGGTGCATTTCCAAGCCCCCCATGGCTAAACGCTCACCGGTTTGAGATAAGCGACGTTGCTCTGGCGGATGTCGTTCAGCAGCTGATCCCTCGGGGTTATTTCGACGAGGGGAGGTGGCCGCCTCCTGGGGATCGGCTTCAGTGTTTTGATCACGTCCTTGAGGTTGGTTTTCTCGGTGGGCTCCACGTACTCGGGCACAGCGGGCTTGCGCTGCACCTTTTTCAGCTTGACCACCTTGAAGCTGACGGGCTCGGCTCTGTGCGGCTTCTCGGGGGCCTCCGGCCTCGCGCTCTCCTTCCCTCGGCTCCGGGGCATGGAGGGGGGCATGGGGGGCTTGGGTGCCGGGGGTGCTTCGCGCATGCTGGGTTCGGGCAGCGGTCCCCCCAGCATTTCCCACATCCCGGGCGGCAAGCCCAGTCCGTTCTCCAGCATGGCAATCAGCTCCCTCTGCTCTTTCCTCTGCTGCTGCCTCTGCTCCTCCTGCCTCTTCTGCCTCTGCTTGTCCAGGTTCCTGCTCAGCAGGTTGGTCACCACCATCCTGGGCCCCGGCAGCTCGAAGTGGTAGCCCATCTTCAGGAGGGTGGCGTTGGCTTTCAGCAGCCTGGCGATTTCCATCTCGGCCTGGTGGCCCAGCATGCTCCTCTGGTTGTGGAAGCGGAGCTCCGTCAGCGTCTCGTTGTACTGCAGGCACCTCATGATGGCCACGACGCCTTTGCCGGAGATGAAGTTGGAGTCGATGTTGAGCGTGGTGATGCTCCTGTTCTCGCGCAGCATGTTGGCCAGCGCGAAGGCGACGTTGTCGTCGGCTCCCACGTTGGCCAAGCTGAACGTTTTTATGTTCTTATTCTTTTTCATCGCGTTGACAAAGTCTATCAGCATTTCTTTGGGGATGTTCTCTATGTTGTTCAGGTTGAGCTCCTTCATGTCCGGGTTGTTTTTTCGGACTTTCTCCAAGCTCTCTTCTAAGTTGGTTTGGTTTCCTGAGGGCCTGGCACTTAGCTTCATGAAGCTGGTATCCAGCGCTAACTTCTTAGGGATGTTTAATTTGGATATTTTCTTTACATTTTCATCTGGCTTTTCTGTTGTTTCCCCTGATTCTCTACCTGATTCCTCACTGGTCTGATCACCTGCGATGGTTTTCATGGTTGCAAGTTTCCTTTGTTTCTGATTCACTCTCATCACCCTCTTCTTCCTCTTCCTCCTCCTCTTCATTGTCTTCTTCCTCCTCCTCCTCCTCCACTTCCTCCTCTGCTTCCTTATCACTTCCACCCTTGTTTGTCTCTCCAGGCTGTGTTCCCGAGCTGGCCAAGCTCTCGTTCCTGTAGTGCCTTTCCTTCCCCTCAGCTTCTGGCCCGCTCCTGCCACCCACCTCACCGCTGCCTCCCGTCCCCGCAGCGCTCCTCTGTGGAAGAGAGAAACAGCTGACGTGACCCAACAAGGCTTTGGTACGTTAACTTTGTCCAAAAACAAAAATGCAACCAATGGGTTAATACACATCTATGGCCATTATAGACTAACACATTGATGATATGTCACAGTGTGCTGGCTTGCTTGGGACTGAAGGAACGATGGCTTCTGAAAGTGGCTGTAGGCAGTGTCCCATCTCTGCCCATTCAGAACGCTGACCATTAATTCCTGGATGTATCTAACACTACGTTATGGTGGTCCCGAAACCCTTCTGGGGATTAAGAAACTCTGATTCTATTCCGCCTCTCGAATTCATGTGATTTTTATCATTTTCTTCAGTAAGAAAGTTTGTTTCACATGCCACAAAGCACTGGAAACCCGCATGAAGCGCTGACCGCTGTGCCCAGCCCAAGAGAGGAGGAAGAGGGCGCACCATGACCGCAACGTGCCCGCCCAGCACGCGAGGCAGCGAGGCCACGTGCTCGGGTACCCGCATGGAACAACTGCCGTCATAGGAGCAGTTTTTAAGGTTTTTCCCCCTTTCTGAGGAGCACCCCAGCACCGAGGTCTGCATCACTACCAGAGGCAGCTCCTCCAGGCCAGAAGTGCCAGCAGCCAACAAAACAGATCTCAAAACCTGAGGATAATAACCTAGGAGTTTGTAGTGGCCCTGTCCTATAAAATATCCAAGAATGAACTTACTTTTATCATACTGCCCCATGACTTTGAATAACAGTTAAGTATTATATTGAAAAGGGTGGGAGAAGCTCATGGAGTTTCCATTCTCGGTCTTGAGTGAAATTTCACATTATTAAAATACATTATGGGATTTTTTTTTGCCAAAGTGGCATTAAATTCTATCAAGTATTACTATTAATCGTGTTCATTAGACTAAATGTTCTGTAGAAAAGCACTATAGTGTTGTTCAATATGCAAAGCCAAGCAAACCTTCCAAGAATTACACCTTCCAGACTGACTATCTGGTATTTTCTCAGAGGTTTGCTTCACTGAAACAGAATTAGGATTTTCTCATGTTAAAAAGCATAAGTAAAGGAGGAAAAACATTTAAAAAACAAAAACAAAACAAAACAAAAACCCTGACGCCAGTCCAAGCTGGATCCTGACATTACCGAGGCTTTCAGGGAGCATTTAAATTCATAGTTTGTATCGTACCTTACATAGGGAATGGAATCAGGGGTGGATTAAGGTATTAAAGCTATAAAACAGATCCCACAGCAGATGCACAACAAATATTTACGATTTTTTGCTCATTACCTCAGAGGGCAAGAGGGTGACGGGAACTCTCTCGTCCTCGAGCATGCGTCTGGACTGCCTTCTGCCAGTACAGGTAGTCCACCAGCGACCTGTGGTCGAAGCTCCCCGTCGGGGGTTTCTCGGTCTGATCCCTCTGTATCATCCCCGTCGGGACCTCGGGGTCCGGGGCCATCACCTCCATCTCGCTCTGCAGCTCCTTCAGCTCCTCAGGGGACAGGTTCGCCAGGATTTCGTCTTCATCGATGTCCTCAGGGGACACGTCTTCGTCAGAGGCTTGGCTGTGTTCAGACATGTTTGCTCTTCTCTCCTTCCTCTACTGCTTGTTAAAACTGAAGAGAAAGATAAATTTTAAAGGTTATTTTCCTAGGAGGAGCTCATTCGGTTGAATCCACGACTTCGTGTTTTGGTCACGAGCAGCCGCAGCTCTCGGGCTCAGTGCAGCAGACGCGCGGCTAAGGCTATATTAAGCTGCACTTGGCCGGACGAAGAGAATTTATGGAGATGCTGCCATGCTCCATTTTCAGCAACGTGTCAGCTGCACAAACCCTTCTGACATTTCGGTGCAGCTGGTGCGTCCCCCATGGACACCCGCAGGAGATGGCTCCCTCCCGTCGGTGGAGGGAGCTAACAGGGCCTGCGAGGTACCTGGGGGATGTTCTGTGCCGAGGGAAGAGCCAGCACGAGGTGTCTGCATCCGTCGTGTCGCAAATATCCCAAACTTGCAGGCAGCGGGGGATTTGACCACCTTTAGTGAGCTCTTAAAACCTGAATATTGCAGAGGTTGGTGCGAGTTCACCTGTTGCACGACTTAAAGAGCTCTGCCAAAAGCCAGATCCTGGTTACAATAAAACCACCTGAGCTGGGAAGAGGCAGCGAGGTACAAGGCACACCGTGTCCACGCAGGGAGAGGGCCTCAACCCTGCTCCCATAGCGAGGATTTGCCCGGAGCAGCTACCCCAGCACAGCACGTCCTGCTCATGTCCAGGCTGCCCAGGGGTGATGCCAGTCCCTGCTTCCAGACATCCCCCTGGCCCATCTCTGCCACAGGCTGTTACTTGCACCCTCACCAGATCCTGGCTGAAAAGTCATCTCAGCTTCATCCTTTTCCTACCATTTATTTTTTTTATTTACCAAATCAGTAAGCAACTACTTTACTTTGATAGTATTCATTTGATGTAACTATACAAGATTATTTGAAATCCTTTGTGTCATTCAAGTGTCTGTTCCAGCTGGAAAGTACCTCCTCCTTCCTTTAGGATACTTTGTAGGCTCCTACTTCTGTATGGCAAACCAGAAAGCCCCATTTCTGAGCCACCACTGTGCTCATGGTTGCTTTGTAAAAGCAGAGTAGCGCGGGTGGGTGACTTTTCTACTAGGATAAAATTTCCATATGCCACTGCTCAGGAAGGTTTCCTTTCCTAATTTCAGCTAGGCTTTGCAGGGGGGATCAAGCCAGATCCTCACCTTGCAACTGCGAATGCTTCTTTCACAGGGAAGAAGCCACAGAGGGGCTGTGGAACCAGGTCCCAGTGAGCCCGAAGCCGTTCTCACTGCAGCCCCAGCCGTGCTCTGCTGGAGTCTGCCAGCAGCGAAACCATCCCCGTGTGATGAGGCCTCTCCGTGCTGAGTTTTGTAACGAGAGCCGTGGTGTTCAAAGCCCTATTAACCTCTATTAAAAAGCCATAACCCAAAGGTCCTCGTGCAACTAATGCTGCTACACAGCTGCAAAGAGGACAACATTTCAAGAATGAAATAAATGGTAAAAACAAAAACAACAACAACAACAACAACAACAAACCAAGTCAAGGACATAATGCTTCTGTTTGCCCCTTTGGTATTTCAGGGCCCATCCTTATTTTACATTATGCAGTAGCAAGCACAACAGCAGCCCCGCACATCAATCTATCTGGTTTAGCAGCCTTCACCCCCAGCAATTGCTGTCCATAATGGAGTCCATAAATGGTTTCCTGATGTTATCAAATAAATCAATGTTCTTCTGTAGCTGGTATGTTATTCCCCCAAACGATGCTGTTTGGGTCACAGAAGCTGTCTATTCAGTGGTTACAAATCTCTTGCTAATTTCTTGACTGTAAATAAAGCCCCTGGCCACCTTCTTAAATTTCCGTGATCCTCAGCCAGGCCATCTTGGGCCGTGGGCTTGTCAGATCTGCCAAGTTAAGTAGGGTCAAACCCAACAAGTCCTCTCGAGATGGAAAACAAGGTCCTGAGAACGCTATCACAGATTTAAAAAGCAAGCTGTCTTTAAGTAGAAATATATCATTTGTCGATACCGTGATTAGGAAACACTACACCTCGGGAGCGATGCCTCCCCCGTGGGACGCAGAGCGAAGGGCTGCCCACTGACACCTCTCCCAAGTGGCACGGGTGCTAATCCCGCAGATTTCCAAGGTGGGTATCACATTTTGCCTACTTTAGGTCTCCTCCATAAATTACATCCAGTACTGGATTCACTTCCTTTTCTAACACGTTGCTTAGTGTTTTGCTACACTGGAAACGGCACGTTAAGGCAGCAGGGGACACCGCCAGGCTGCAAGCACTCCTCTGGCCAAATCTAGGGGTCCTTTCCAAGGCAAAACCCCCATCTTCATCCCAATAATGTTTGCAGGCACCTCCATGAGAGCTTTCCAAAAATCCTGACTAATACCTCCACCTTTGATGCAACAGGAATACCACTGCCATCAGCAGCCTCGTTATCTTCATGCCAATTTGACACTTGCTCAAGAATCCCGGCACTAATGAGCTGCTGCACGAGATGCTCAGCTACCGGGCAGCGCCGGGCTCTGCCAGCAGCTCACAAACGTGAGCAGAAGACAGGCGGCACCTGCAGCCATCGCTATGGGTAGGAGCTCCCAATTCCTGCTTAGGAATTCCTCCTCCAATTCTGCTTACTTCAGAAGTGTTAAATAATAGCAGTTTAGGAACAAACTGTTACCACGCTGGTAGAAAATATAATCTGCATTGTTAATGCACAATTCATACTTACTGCTCCTAAGGCAAGTACTTACAAGAGGATGAAGGAGCATAAAACTAAACAGGGTGTAGCGCAGCATTGCCCTACTTACCTAATCTTTCTCTTCTGTGCATGTTCTTCAAAACTTCTGACCTGTCTTGAAAGCAAAAGGGTTGACAAATTTTTTATTCAAATATCAGGAGGGATGAACTCCTGCATCACAATTTAACTCTAAGCAGACTGTCAAACCATGCTTAAAGTGTCTAAAACTTATTCCATTTTTAAGGTAATTGAGGAACACACACACATGCCAAATACTCGAGAGGAATTTCTGTAATCCTGGCTTTTGCTGATAAAACCCACACACTTATGTCCCCTGACTGCCAATCCATGCCATCTCCAAGAGCCAAGGCAGTAACTGGATAAAAGTCAGGGAATGTGCCTGTGTAACATAACCGTGCATCGCTTCTACCAACCTCGTAGGCTCGATGGGACAGGCTAAAATTGACCAAGAGAGGCATACACCAAGTATGCCCAGCAATCCCCTGTAACGCAATATGGGATTATAACGGGTCAGATGATGGGGATCGTAACAATAACAACCTCCAAGTAACGAGTACAATCGTAGGGAGACACCCTGTGGGGAAACCAGCGGGGATCATCTTGGGGGGCGGAACACCCACCACACCTCCAAGCTGTTAGGGAGATATATACCAGATAAAGTTTGCTGCTTACACGGAACAAGGACGTCTGACTTTTGAGGTATTTGCCCAAGCAGCTCGAGAGGGAGCTGCGAAGTAGAGCCCTGGGGTGAAACGAGGGCTGAGGGGGAGCAGCAGGGACAGGGATTGATTCAAAGACTGCATGGCAGAGCCTCAAGAGCAACAAAAGCCCCACGCTAAAGCCAGTAGCTAGAATTCATTTTTCTAACATCCTCTCAATTTTTAGGCAAGTTTGTGATTTTCCTCTAACAGGTGCATGCCAGTGCTACACAATCAGAACTGTAATAACAGGACTCCAAGGATGCTCAGAGGAGTGACAATCATCCTCGTAACCTTTTCAACGAGCCATCTCCACAAATAAATCACATTCTGTTCAACACAAACCAGACAACGAAAAAATCACTGAGCCAGCAGATCAGGTATCGAACATTTGAGTCGGTCTAGGTAGCAATGTCACCCTTCAAACACTGGGGTGTACCTTTACTTTACAGCATACGACCCTATCACAGCCCCTTGCCCTGTATCATCCTGCCATCAAAACGTGCCCATGGGCAACGCCGCCGGCGCAGCTACGTGATGATTTCAGCATGTACGTACGGGGCTCGTCCTGCCCTAACCTCCAACCAGGAACAGGTGGGAGGCTTCTTCTCGAGTTACTCCAGCTGAGCCCCTGCTGGCTGCAAACCTTTCTCCGCCTGTGGCTCTTCGATGACACCCTAATGATTAAATATAAATGGAGACTCACGCCTGCTGCGCTAGAGCTGGGCAGGAGATGCCCTGGGAGAGGGAGCACATCCCTCCATCATCAAGGACTTGCTGAAGGATTTACGGCGACAAGGATAAGCAAGTTGGATGGAGGACAAGGAGCTTCTCCTTAGCTAAAGGTTTCATCACCCTCTCTCAAAGGCCCTGCCATCTCTGTCTCCTCCCGTGCTGCCAGCACTGACTGCTCACCATCCCTCCTTCCAAGCAGGAAATGTCACATCAGCTTTCCTTGCAGCTGGGGCTCTGGGTAGCGGTCTTCAATGACAAATCGTGCCCTGGGTGATGACCCATGTGGTCCTGAATCTGTATCCAGCAGCTGAGAAGGGAAAGCCTTGCTGGAGAGGGCTGTTGTCACCCTCCCTAGCTGCTGCTGGGGCCTGTATCACAGCAGGCCGCCTGCTCAAGCAGCTCTCTTGCATTATTCCCAAAGCCCAGGAGATGGAGCAAACCTTCAGCCTTCACAGGGCTTCCTACAAACACTGGCACTCGCTGGGCCACGCTGGAGGTTTCTGATCTGCCCTGGAGCTGTGCAACTTTGCTGTAGTTTCTCCTTTTTAAGCTGAACAAGTCCAAGATCATAAACCAGCTCCCGGCAGAAACCTGCACGTCACATCCCGCACTAAGTCACGCTGGGCAGCAAACTTCACATCAACACACTTGGGTGCACGTTAAAGATTCGCTGTGGTAAAGCAAATTTTGCCTGTGCTGGACAAGGGGGCTCCTAACCAGAGCCCTGTCCTGCTGTGCTGGGGGGGCTTCAGAGCCCAGCCTGCCCCAGGACCCACAGTAACACCACATCCAAGTATTGCCATTGAAAACAGCGTAGAAAAAGCTTGCAGCAATTAAAATAATCCAACCTTACTTATTTCAGTACTATTGCCTTTTTGAGGATTCCTGGCAAGGACCCGTTTTTCTTCTTCACCCATCATCATCTAAAAAACACCCAGAAGTGCTCCACCACGTGTGGTGTTGTGTTGTTGCTGTTTCCCCTCCTTGCTCTCATCTCACCAGCAGCATCTCCCACCCGTTTGAGAGGAGAGGCATTTGTGCTGCTGTAAAACTGAACCCCGTGGGTCTGGGAATGTTTTACCTTGGTGTTTCACGTCACTTGTGTCTTGGCTTTGCTCTGGATCATGGCAAATACAAACTTCTGGGTATTTCTTCAAACTGGAAGAGGCAGAGAGGGTTTCGGGTGAGTCTGAGGCAGGAGGGCTCCTCTCTTCAGTGATGCTGGTTGGTCACTAGATGGCCTCACTGATCCTGGTGAAAGCCTGTGGAAAAGTTTATACAGCTGTAAACGCTGCTGAGGTAGCAAATCAAACAAACAGGTAATTTGTATTTGAGTTTTGAACAGATACGATAACAATCACAGCTATGTCTTTATTACCTCTTCAGCTGCACGATACAGACCTGGTCTCCACGAACAGCCGTGCACCAGCACCAAAGCATCGCTCCAGAAACGCAGCTCGCTGCCACGAGAAGCTGCAGGGCGACAGGAGGCAGAGCTCAGCAGCAGGCCAGGAGCCGGGCTTAATAAAAAAAAAGGGCCTGGGCAGCAACTGGAGCCATCAGGAGCATGCCCAAGCTGTGCCTTGGCCACAGAGCAGCCCCAGCTCCCTGGTGGACAATGGGCAGGGGGTCCCATGGCACCTGCACCCTCCTGTTCATCTCCCTCCAAGTCAGGCAGTGTCCAAAATCCAGCCCTGGAGGTTTCATGCCCTGAATTCCCCAGGAGAGCAAACTGGGCTCCACTTGAAGCCACCCAAAGTTCCCACATTCTCAACACGCCCATCCAAACTCATCCTAAATCATCCCGGTCCTGTCGGAACAGCCCCACGGCCGGGTGCCAGCGCTGTGCCAACGCGGGTGCGTCAGGCTGAGCTCAGGCCTGAGCAGGGAGGGAAGAGCCAGTGCACAACTCAGTGGCCACTGCACCGAAATACAGGGACATAAACAATGCTTTAAATGGGACATGGGTCTGTCACACACCTCATTGCCTTTTTTAAATGAAAACCTTTGAGAGGGCTGATAAATAATTGCCACGGTGCAGTGATAGCACTGGCTCTGCGTGGGGTGCTGGACTTGGAACCACGCAGCCGCCTGTCACGAACACCGATGTTGTGCAACAGTGGTGTGAGCAAGCACACGGGCAGTGAATGAAGAACGTGCCAACAGACGAGCCTCCAAAACTACTTGGAGAAATGGTAAAACACAACAAATTTGGGATATTTTTAGTGGTCATCTACACAAATCCTTCTTAATAAATGTTTTCACCAGCAACCTTGAAATAAAGACGAAATTCAGTGCTGGTTAAGCTTATGGATGATAAAACCCATGAACTAACAAATTACGATGCATTTTCTGTGAAGGCGCCTCCTCCCATTGCACCATCAGAAATCCAGACCTACAGACACATTCTCCAAGGGGCTGAACTGTCCCAGGGCAAGTGTTCCCCAGCAATAGGGCAGCCTCTGCCAGCTCCCCTGCCCCAAGTGGGCTGATCTGCAAGGGGGCCACAGCCACTGACCCTCAGTGACAACCCTGATACTGCGCAGCCCAAAAGAAATCAGACCATGGTAATTCCCCCTATCTTAGTTTCAAGCCTTGAAATGACACGCTGCACTTTTCCAAGCACTCAAGTAGAAATAGGAGGAATGCTGAAGTGGTTGTGGTAGCACACTTTTCAGTTTATTGACCTATACAAAATAATAGGTCTAGAAATTCATGAGTAGTAAAAGAATAAGCAAAAAAGAGCTTTCGCATTTCTAGAAGGCTATACAAATATGCAAAACCAAGGAAATAAGTTATTTATTTTGTTTTTGTTCGTTTAATTCCAAATTGCGACTCTAATAATACAAACGACTAAGTACCAGCTTAACAAGTGTGTCCTTCTGTATATATTACATGCTCTGGAATATTGGTAAAAAACGTCCAAAAAAGTTTATCAGAAACTTTTCTATTCACAATATGAACAAGGAGTTACTAATCTTTTGTATAAAAGAAAAAAGAGCACCATTTTATGGGATCCTGAAGCACAGTACAGCTGAGACACGAGAGAGATTTTACAGTATGCAAATGAGTCGTCATAAATCACGCAAGAGAACCCATGCTAGTTTGTTCCTACAGATGGATGACATGAGGTAGGTTTATCCCTCTTAGATCAAGACTGCAGTCGCACTTTTTTTCTGAATAAATGGTTTTGCAAAGATGCTGTTCCAGTCACTTAGTGACTTTGCAACGCACCTGGCAGTTCAGATGACTCGTGGTACAATTCTAATGCCCCTCATTTTAAGGCACCCACTTGGCTGTTTATGTTTGCATCCACCTCAAAATACTGGCCATTACAATCGAGTTGTTTATCCTGTGGTAACTGCAACTCTCCATTTCCGATCCTCAGTTCACTACGGCAGAGCAAAATGTAATTGTCACCCAACGAACACTACGCAGCCACTGTGAAATTTGCCTGCTCCTCTGCACAGTGAAGTTGTACCATGGAAAGGTCGGTAAGTGTGAGGTTAGTAATTACACTTTATCATGGAAAGGAGTTCAAAGTTTACTCCTGTTTCCAAAATCCACAACCACCCTAGAGTTTTACATGACATATTGTGACAGCAAATTCTTTTCTTTCCAGAACTCGTTTGTGGTGCTAACAAACACTCTTAACAACACCCCAAAAATGGATATACTCATTCAAACCTCCATAAGAATAATAAAAAAAATCCAGCCTTCCTTCAAGTAATGTTCCAATACTGATTAAATCACCCTTTGCCTCATTCACACACACAGTATCTATCCTTCACAAGCTTATGAAAGTCCTTCCAGGTCATCATAAGCCACATCAGAAAAAAATTCCATTTGTTCTTTCAGACATCGCAATTGTGCTCCTAGAATTCCTGGTTTTTCCATAAGAGTTTCCTTTTCACATTTTTTTTTTCTGAGGTTTGCCTTCAACACCTTCCAATCTTCAAAAAAAGTGCTTGCTGAATATAAATACTTCAACCAAGTGCTGCATCTTGTCGTAGATCACATCGTGGCTTGCCCTTGCTCGTTTAGGCTATCCGGATTCAGAAAGAAGCGCCATTCTTGGTAAGACTTTGTCATTTTGCTATAGTCCCTCGTAATGCTGAACTTCATCTTTCCCAGCAACAGAACACCTCCTTTTTGTTCGGTCGGGAAGGTGCCCCCGAGGTCTCCTTCGGAGTAACAGCGTTTTGTGCAAGGCACACAAGGGTACGAATGCAGGGCTGCAGGCGGTCTACACGAGCGTCCCAGGCTTTGAATCCTCGTGCCAGAATAACCTTTGCTCGTTGCTGTGCAAGTCTTCCTCCAACTGGTTCTCTTCGTCACCACCCAGCTGGCTCGTCTCTGCATAAGCTCTGTAAGAGATGGCATCAGGGATAAGCAGGAGCTGAGATCTCCCCCAAATCCCCAGGTTCTGCTTTGGGGATGTACAAACAGGAGGAGCCGCAGCCCACCTCAGCGTGGCGAGCATGAACTCACACGGCCCCCTTGGGCTTGAAGGAATGCTGGCTGCTGTGATTTTACACCCCCAGCAAAATTTGGATCCAAACACAAACCCAGGTGTTGTGCTGTAATTAGGCTATTCGTGCAACAGGATCTCAGCTACTCAAAATTGTCAAGACTCTAAAGTGTATTGATTGCTCATTTGCCATAATCACATTAAAATAGAAAATAGAACAGATGAATGATTGGCCTACTGATTCAGAACATGGGAAATTAATAGTAAAAAAGCACTCATATGGAAAAGCCTGCCAAAATAAGCGATTTTCAAAGCCTGGTTATAGGAAGTTAAGAAATTAGTAGAAACCATATTCTTAAACACTGTTATTGTAGAGCTTTTAGATCACTCCAACAAAAAGCCCAAGGCATTTAGCTTAGAAACGAGGATCTAGCAGAAGCTTTTCTATCTTTTTTTACGCTTTAGCTCATTTTAAAACAAACAAATGAAAAACTCGGTCATTGCCCCAAGACAGCCTGGCAGCAAGCGCAAGCAGCCACACGTGAAGCTGGGCACACGCATGCGGAGTACTTACTACAGCTGGCTAGGCTTAGCATAAGAGCACTTAGGCAGGATGGCATTTGTGCGGGCAGAGCCGTTCCCGGGACAGGCGGCCTCTGATCTTGCTGGTGACAGCCGGTGTGCGAGAGCCAGGGGAGACCAAAAACACGAAGCAGGAGCAGCAAGAGTCTCACATGCACTTCTGCAACGCCCAAGCGAGATCCTGGGCTCCTTGCAGTCCTCAGGGAAGCCCCCACACCCAGCGCAGCTGCAAGGAGCAGCAAGTCTCACCGGGGTCACTGGCTGAGCTCTGCCGAGCAAGATGCGCTTGGTTTATTAACGGGATGACCCATGTCGGTATTGCCTTTGAGCAGCAGCAGGGTGATGTGTGATTAAAGAGAGGTGCTGCCTTTATTTATTTGTTTTGTTTTTTTTATTGGCACAGGAGCTATGGCATCAGAAACACAACAGGTCGGTATCCTGCCACACCACTGGCTGGGCACAGGAGAGACCTCCTGCCATGGCAGGGAGAGGAAGGGGGCTCAGCAGGTGCTCTGCCCAGCATCACTGCTGCCGGGAGCTGGCTGTCCAGCATCAGCTGGAGGAAAAGCCCACGCCACAGGTGAGTTCATCCTTCACTATGCCTCTTTCCCCCTTCCTTGAATATTGTTGGTACAGTTATAGGCTGATCTATACCACCTGGAGAGGATACTCTCACTAAGTCAATTTTATAAGTACTCTTCATCCTGGCCCCCTGAAATCAAGCTGCTTTCTTCAGATGTTTTAGTTGCCTATAAAATGCAGGAGGGAGAAAGGACAGAAAATCTTGACACACTTTACTCACCTGCTTTGCAGAGGGAGGTTGCCATAAGTGTTTCCATAACAGCTGGCAAAAGAGGAATGAGATAACGTATCATAATCTGAAAGTCCCATTGCAAGCGGGTTCCGCCAGTTCCCAGCAGTGTTTGCAGAAGATGCTGGAATTCAAAAAAAAAATTACAGCTAATTAGATCTTTCTGCAGCTAATCAGATGAGACAAATGAGACAGTTCTCATTAGCAATCCCTACGCGTTTCTGCAGGACACACAAGCAGAGAATGCAAACTCAAAATGTTATTTACAAGCACTGTGATGAGGAAAGCAGTTGCAGGGGTATTTCAGAGTGAGGGAATCTCTTTATAAAAAGACTGTTCAGTGATGCTGATTGGACTGTGTTTTGGATACTGTCACAGTAACTGCACGTACATGGCTTCCACTTGATAAATATGCCTGTTTGAAACATATGGTTCTGTGCTGCTCTGAACTACCGTGCTTACAGAGACTAAAAGGCAGTTTTACCCACAGAAGACAAGTAAGTCTCTTCCCAGTCACAGAAGAGCAAGAACAAAAATCCTGTTCAGCTCCTTATCTACTTCTCAGCCTTGCTTATACTCTGCTGGTTTTGGGCAGAATTGATACACAGAAGGGATGTACAAAACATTTAGCACAGAACTCATCGGACATTACCTGAAGAGAAAGATGACACACGACTGCTAGGAGAGCACGGCGCCTGCACACCAGCAAGGCCCAAGCTCCTTTGAGATCCTCTGTCAGACTCAAAGCCTGCCTGCAGGCAATGACCCTGTTCCTTTTGACTGGAGGCACGTTGGTACCAACCACGGAGATGCTCTGCTACTAAGGCCTTGTGAATGTTTTTGGTTATATGCTCCGTTTTAGCAACCTGCTTCCGTGGAAGCCTCAGGGTTGCATATGGGTTGTGGGGTACTCTGTCCACTTCGTCCTCGTGGTAAGACCTGAATTCCCTGTAACGGTCATATCTGTAATGTGCCGATGGGTGACACAGAGGATTGACACTATACTGTCCCTCTGTGTCACTCTCATAAACGTATCCTCCGTTGTAATAAACGTCAGATTCGGTGTAAGGGGAATATCCAGAAATATAGTAACTGGAGGAAGGCTGCTCCTGATTTTTGTGGTAGACACCATTCCGGACGTCCTTCTGGGCAAGATTCGGCATGCTTCCTGAACTCGCAGCAGAAATGTTTTGTTTCTTTGACCGTCTTCGACCCCTGGTCCTGTTGTCAAGCGTCTGAGTAGTATAACATGGTCTGGATGTAGGCGTCACGCAGTAATATTCAGCACTGGACTGGCTAGTGTAGGATGATCCATCATCTAGGATCTCCGTGCTGCTGCTTCGCTGGGACTTTGAAAGGGAGAAGGCTGGCTTTTCAGCGGGGGCCTCGGACAGCAGGTGGGTTTGGGACTCCAGGCTGCCACTGCGCTGCCTGCAATGGTGCGGGGAAACATCTGGCCTGAAACAATACAGACATTAGGTTGGTTAAAAGCAGTCACACTGCAGACATAGAGACAGAGCTGGATAGAGCATGTGTGAGCAAATCAGGTGTGCTTCCTCCCCAGCCAAAGCACAACACAAACCCAGCATTTCCTTCTCACATGGAGTACCTGCACTGCAAGAAAATCAGCTTGGCTAAATTTTACTTTTGCTGCAACAGCAGGAGATTTTTCAGATTTTCACGGTGAGCAAGGTAACCTGTGACAGTGATACACGCAACAATGCTGACAAACTCGCATTTTGCAATGACTTACAGGAGGGATCTCACAGTCTAAGTATGTAATGTCTAGACAAGTAGCTGAGCAAGGATCAGAGCATAGGAAGCTGGGTTTCCCGTGGCTCTGTGTACCACGATTGTGTGACCAGAGCCGAATACACCATTAGCTCTTTATAACATTTTAACATTTATAGTATCTCTCCTTCTCACAGTAAGGGCACCGATTCGGGTATCTCTCCTCTATTTGGCCACTTACTTTTCAGGATGCTTGAAGGACCTTAGTTCACAGAAGATATCTGTAAGCTTGTACACCAGCTTCCATCTCACTCCTAATTTTGCAGACACCCAGTAGTGCAGCAGTGTGTGCTACTATTTCTGCTACTGCCCAGCATTTACATTCCTGCAAATGCTCTCACTTGCATGTTACAAAGCTGGTGCAAAACTGTACCAGAAGATGGTGGCTGATAGCAACCTTGTGCCTCAAATATCCAGAAAAGGCACTTTGAGAGCCTGACCCCTGAGAGCTGCACTGCAAATGACCTTTTATCCCCTTAACACCATTTAAACTCAAAATAAACCCCCCTTACTGTAAGTGGCTGCTACTGTAGGCGTTGCGTGTGAGCACGGGTGTTGTAGGCATGCTTCTCCCCCCATGGGACGGGGGCAGTCGGTCCAGGGTGCGATAAGGACTGCTGTGAGTTGAAAGCGGGTCCCTGTAAGGAAGACAACAGAACCCCAGTTAGGTCAACCACAATGCAAGTCACACCTACTGAGACTCCGTGCACCCTCAGTCTTAAATGAAATAAAAAATATCTTAAGGGCTAAAAAAGCAGGTAAGAGTAACTGGATATGATTCCATATACAGAACAGAACTAAACAAGAAGAAAAATTGAAGCCCTTTTTGTGGTTCAAGAAGGTTACTATTCTTAGAGGAAGAAAGTGCTCCCCAAGTCTTAGGTGAACTGTGTATGCTTTGACAATGTACCTGCTGACATACTGATAGGATCAGGAGGGATGGGTATGGTCAGGTGTTATCTGAAGCAATTATGCACAGTCATCAGGAAACATACAAGCTGTTTAATACTGAAAACAAACCACTTGGCCACAAAAGGGTGAAAGTACTGGTGGGCACGATCGATCCCTTAAATGCAGTCCTTGCTATTAAATTTCTCACCTGACTCAAACTGCACTACTCTGCAGTTTCACAGAGACTTGACTACTCATACACACTGTATTACTAAACAGGAAATTTAACTCTTATCACTAAACTCTTGAACCCCAGAAGACTGCAGAGACAGCGGCATCTCTGGAGAGCCCATAAAAAAAAATCTTTACATGGACAAGACTGAGTTTATGCCAACAACACAGAGAGTACAGTGAGATATGCCATACCTGGAGTGTCTCGTTTCCAAGAGCTGCTCGTTCATGGATGACTTTCTAAGATGGATTCTCTCCAGCCCAAGGGACTTTGGTGGAGGAAGCCTTGGAGAAAGCTGTGCAGAGCTGGTTCTTTGTGCTGGCACAGTGAGGGATTCACTGGCTGTTGGAAAGGAATACATATTTTGTTAGCAAAATCCTTGGTATTTTTGTCCTACATGTACATCTGTGACTCCTGAACAGAAACTCTTTGCGGTGTGGAGACAAGGAGGGAAGCTGTGACTACAGAGAGCCTCTCCCACACCTGCCTGCACCAAGCTCTCCTTCACCTGGACAGGACATCGTGGAGGCTTATGCAGGTCTCTGCAGCACCTCTGACAGAGGTTTCTGCTTGGCACTTTGCAGCACCACAGAGTGGAACTTTCTTGGGAAAGTGCCTGTCTGCAGCTCTGTCCCTCCCAGAGCAGAGCTGGCACGCTCAGCCTCTCCAAAGCCAGTTCCTCTCCCTCACCATTCAGCACTTCACTTGGAAATGACGTGAAGGATTAGTTTAATACAACCTAAAAGGGACTGACTTCAAAAGGGACTGAGCGAGCAAAGACACTGGCAAACAAATTTGAGTGAAGGCAATTGGGAAGACGTTGGTTTGATCCTTGTTCTCACTTGCTTAAGGCACAATCCAGATGCCATTAGAGCCAAAAGGAAACTACAACAAATACATATAGACACAGAACAAGCATCATAGAGAATGCATTCACAAACCAAGGCTCTGGCTCTACTTCTACTTGTGCAAGCAGGAATCAAGTGCGACTCCATTTTAAAGCGTCAGAAGGGTTATACAAGTCTAAAACTGGGACAAAGCAAGATCAGAATCAGGCCCTAACTGAAAAGTGAGTAATAATTTAGATAATGTTTGTCCCCAGATGATGATTACCCAGCCAAGGGAGAGGCAAGCCAAGTCCTTTCCACCTTGTGGAACAGGGTGTGAATGTGTCGTCTGTGGGTGTGTGCCCAAAGTGAGTAAGCTGAGCAAACACCATACCCATGCAAGATGCAGCTCACTAGGTAACAAGGAAACGTAAACAGATTGTTAGTATCTCTGACTAGTCCATGTTTTATAAGTTTTAGTAACTGTGAGGACAGAAGAGCTGGGGAATTCCTCCCAGCTGCTTATCTGCCTTGGTCAGGTCCCGGGGATGGAGTATCTATTGGCAGTTCACAGTTCCCCAGGTTGATCACAACAAAACCATCACAATAAAACCAAGTGCTTTCTCTGAAGATGACTTAAATCAGCTCACAGAGCAGAAACTTTCAATAACTAACCCATTATGAAAACAGACATTCCTGATTAAGCTCTTTTTAACTCTGCTGTAATTTGTCATTGAAAGACAATAAAGTAGCAGGCTAAAGGACGTTAAGTCAAAGAGTATCACTGAACAGGCACACTTCAAAGGCAGAAAAGGATAATCAACGTACCATCATCATAGGTTGTTGTATCAGACAGAGAGCTGCTCTCAGATGGGATTATATCATCTGTGAATGAAAACAAGCACTTAAAGCACACTCCACATTAATTTCAAACTATCACATACAGTTTATTTTCTAAGGCTTCAGAGCCAGTTGCTACTTGTAACGCTGCAATCACGCTGCTTTAGACTTCAGCAGCCTGAAGACGGCCCTGCTTTGCCCTAACTATCAGGACCTATTTGTAGTCTTTGCATTTCAGCAAGCTACCTCCATAATTATCAAAGGAGATTTTTTCAACTGCAGTGGGAATCAGGCCAAGATTCACAAAGGTGTTTTCCACTCATCTTCCAAGAGATCTCACAGGGTGTTTTGGTGCTTCTATAGGAGTCAGGAGCCTACACAGACACGTAGATCTTGGCTGCCAGCATCTAATCTCCTCAGGTACACCTGAAATCCCACCAGGTAGGTACTAAACGCCTTTTGAAATTTGGAATTAAATTAACCTGTGAATGTTTCATCAGCATACAAATTCTGCTTCAATTAAATTAATATATAGCCAGGAAAATTCCACCGATTTCAATCAAGTCACTGCAAATTCCAGCAGCACAGAGTGCACAAACTGTTGCACAGGCATTGCATTTTTTTTTCCTGTTTCTTTTATGTTTTGCTATTTATTCATAGCACTTCACTGCGCGTGCCTGTGCCCTCACCTTATTACCACACACCACCACTCAGGCTCACAAGCAGCCTGTCCCTGTCAAACAGCCCGCGTGGTCCTGGAACAGGCCAGCTGAGGCCCAGAAATCAGGCTGGTGACAAAAAGCAGCACCAAAGGTAAGTAACCCAGAGAGACATGGAGCCTGTTGCTGGCAAGACACAAAGCTGGTGAGGTGAAAACTCTGTGTGAGCCTCCACGAATGAGAGAGAGGAGGCTGCAGATGATGATGGTGGCTGCCACCTCACATGTGACATCTGCTTACTGCATCACTCACCGTGAACACACGCAATGAACGCTGCTCATTTGTGCAAGGTAAGCTCTAGTTACAAGAACCAGGTAAACAGAGCTGCTCTCTTCAAGCAGAGCAGCCCGAGGGGCTTGTCAGACCACCAAGGTGGGCTGCAGCGCTACTCGCAACCTGACACGGGGAAGAAGCTTTACAGGAGTTTATTCACGTGAATTTACCAAGAGATGGTGAAATAAGGAACTGGGCCCACTGCAAAAAGGAATTAAAAAATCTTCCTAGAGACACACACAAAAAGCAAGCCTAAAGCTGGCTACACAAGGATTTGCAGTGCTGACACACGCAGGAGCTCTGAATTTAAATCTCAAATCCATGAAATTCTCTGAAAAGAGAAAGAAATTCTCTGGGGTACAGAGGAAGCAAAGGAAAGGAAGAAGGGAACATACTGAGGAGGAGACAGCCCAGCACGTCCTTCATCAACCACTCCTGTAGCTGGGACATAAATACCTATGGTATAACTCAATAAATCACTGTTACTACTTAACACGTCATTTCCAACAAGCCATTCCCAAATTTCACAGCTGCAAGTGACTTTATTACCGCTCAGCTTTCTTCAGCCCTGTACCTTGAACCCAGCAGTACAGTCGGTAACGGTGAAAAGGTTACACATAAATCAGTTACCGAACTTGAAGCAGTTCAGGGCTCTGCTTCAGGTACTGTAAACATTCAGACGCTGCTCCAGTCGGGAGCTGGAAGGGAACACAGCTACCTTACTGCTGGCCAAGTATTTGCTGCTGCTACCTGCAGGTAAGCAGCCCCTATGGGAGAGGCTGCCCAGTCCCTTCTGTCTGTGTTTCCCTCCTCAGACAGCAAACAAGGATGCCATGTATCAGATGTTGCAAAATGATGGGCTAAATGGAATTTGTATAAGGACTGAGGATTGCACATCCAGCTTCTAAGTTCCTTGTTTGCACAATGGTTAAAAAAACCTCCATGCAACAAGCAGCAGTGGTGCACGGATGCTGCCCATGCTCTTGCTGGCCTTCAGCAGCTTCCCGTGCTGTTACTCCACATCACATGTCACAGGTAATGCAGGGCCTCCCACAACTGGTATCCAGATTGGTGAGCAATAACTGGAAAAACAGATGTTTTCCTCATCTCTGTCAATTAGGAACTAGCTGGGCCACATTAAAACGTGATCACCAGCCCTTCAGAAAAAACACCCTGTGATGATAGACAGCCCAGTGCTGCTGGGTGCAAATCCAAATCAAGCTCTCAATGAGAGTGAGACAAAGCAAGGCTATCCCAACAGAAACCTGGCAGTGTGAGAGGGTTCTCCTCCAGGGAAAACACAAGAGGTCTCCATCTCAAGTGTCAGTGAGAAAGTATCAATATCAACAGCAGAAAAAAATTGCATTTTCTTTCCCACCCTGCAATTCCCAGGAAAAAAATACCAGCTTCATGTAACATTTCCTCTGGGACAGAGGAGGCAAAAAGAAATCAATCAAATAATTTCCCATGGAAAGGAAAAGTAAAACACATCCTAAAACTGTTAAACGCTATAGGAACTAGAATAGCCTCCAATACACCTATGAACTTTACTGTTCTCATGCTCCTTCAGTTAACTTGGATGCTACCAAGTTTTCATGCTTTGTCCTATGAAGAAGCCAGAGACTCACCTCCCTCAGGAAAACCACATTTTCAGAATCGAAGAGCCAAGGACACCTGCTTTCACTGTGCTCATCACTGGCAAATCCACTTTAGTCAAAAATCTGCATGACACACTTTGCATTCATAAACTCCTGAACTTTGCTTACGTCTTCCTAGGCATCAGTCATTTTTAATCATGAAACAAAATCTCTGGTCCTTGTTTTCTTGACTCCTTAGAAAAACTCACACATTGTTTTTGCCAGAACTGCAGCATTGCAGAAGGGAGAGAGATCTTGCGTGTGGCAGCTCAGAAATACACCTGCATTCAATGCACTACGAATTAGGACACCACACCAGTTTCGACTGAGATGCTCCCGCCAGCCCTTCTATGTATAGCGCTCCTGGTCGCTACCTGGTGCTGGAACGTGTCTGTGCTTGTTCTGAAAACTGCAGCATATTCTGGCCTCAGCCTATAAGCTGTGTACCTATTGTATCAGATGCAGCAAATTGCATCTCTTTTTCTTATTTAATTGCCTTGGAGAAGATAAAAATCGCATAGACACATGTAAACAAAACTTGTAAGCGAGCCAAATGACTTTTTTTTCCCCGTTTTCATCAGAACACGGGGAATTCTCTGGATTACCTGGTAGAGTAAGAGTTGATTTCTGGGTTGGTTTTTTGCCACACTTGATTCTGTATTCGTTTATGGAATTCTCTATCTCTTGAAGCTTTTTTACAGCATCAGCATATTCTTGCTTTCTTTTCTTCTTTACGTTTTTGCAGAGATCTGGCTCACTAGCAAGTTTCTTTGCAGCTTCTACCAGCTTTTGCTGTATGATAAAATTGCTCTCCAACTCCTGCAGAGCGGGATCCTGTAAATTCAAGAGATGAGATATTTAGATGAGGTTATACAAACGATGATCTATTTTTGTAGTAATGAAGTGGAAACCTCCTACTCCAAGACAAAGCCTGAAAATGCCTCTTTGAATCTCTCCCTGCTTTAGAGAAAATAAAAATTGGTATCACCATGCCTACATTACTGGGAGTAGGAAGCTTTAATTAATTGTTTGTAAACAACTTTGAGAGGCTCAAATGAAAGGCGCTGCAGCAGTGCTAAGTAACACATTATTAAATCTGGACAGTAGGATTTTGTTTCAGTTGCACGTAGGCAGACTACATAAAATCAGTTTGCTGCAGACACGGATTATACAATAACGTAAAGCCAGTGCAGCGAGTTTTGGGTGAAAGACAGATGCAAAGTGCCCAACGTCTACCTACTGCTTGGATGAATACACAGCTAGTTAGCAAACATCTTAAGGAATGAGGGGAAACGATGTGCTTCCAGAAACTGCACATATCTGAATTAGCATATCTCCTGAGTCAGTTTCTGCCAGCAAAATTCATATTAGCTTCTTGAGCAATATAGAGCTTTTACTTAGGTGGAACTTGCATTAAGCCAGAGGTAAATCTCCTACTGTCATCTGTCACACAACTATGCTCAGGGACAGATGATTTTGCAAGGGGGACAAGCACACCCCAGCCACTTTCTGGGCTCAAACACAACCTCAAAACACCACAAATCAGTGCTCAGGAAAGGCTTATACACACAGGTTGTCAAATGGCATCATGAACCTGCTATTCTCTAATTCACAGCAAAATTTACATTAAAATGCAAATAACATGGCCAAATTGGGGGCTCAGGTTAGGGATTTTAAGGCTTTTTGAAACAGCCAATTTCCCGGTCATTTTTCAGGGAACACAGCTGAAATAAGGGCAGCAGCTGTCTAGATCCTCAGTCATATGCACGCAACTGCCCCCAGCTGCCTCCTCTTAAACAATCAGGTAAGAGCTGGATTATTTCGAAGTGGCTTTGGCCACCGGTCTGGCCACCCCACCTTTGCTGTGAAAACAAGCTGCAGTGCTCACCTCTTCAGTAGGGAGCAGGTTGTCATCCAGTTTGAAAGCTGTGCCAACACGTCTTCTGACCTGGGGAGGTTCCTCTCCAGCGCTCAGAGGATACTCCTTTGGCATCTTGCCCGTCAGCTCCTGGGGAACAGAGAGGGCTCTACATGAAGGTCCAGTGAGCAAGAAGAGCCCACCCCAACCCTGTGTAAGGTGCTGTTCTCACCGCCTCGCGCAGGCAGATTTTCTTCAGCTCCTCAACTTTCTGAAGCAGTTTTTCCTGAAGGAGTTTCTCTTTCTTCTTTAGCTCCATAATTTTCTCCTTCTTTTGTTCTTCACTGACCTCCGAATCCTGAGAGCCTGAAAAATACATTCTCTTTGTTAGAGAATTTACAGGTAAGAGCTGCTGCTTTCCTTCCCACAACAAAGGACTGGGCAGGAAAGCTGAGATCTCCCCAGAACTGGCCAACCTAGCCCAACTGCATCATATTCAAAATGCAACGTCCAGCTCTTGTGTCATCCAGGAAGAAGGCTTTTAGGAAATCTGCACTTCTTCAAACCCTCAATATTGGCCAAGTCTCAAGTATACAAGCCAAAACCACACTACTCAAAACAAATCGAGACATTAGGGATCTCTATGATACACTTGATACTTCAGCTTTGATTTTGCTTTGATACAGACACCGATTCTCCTCACTTGGGCTTTACCTCCAGGCACTTCTTGGGGGGAAGGCAGGCTTTTATCTACCTAGGAGTCCTCCACGGGTGGTGGAGAGATCTGAAGTCCACTTCAGGGCTGAATTTTATTTAGGAGAATGTCTCTTTTCTGTGGAAAGCCAGGGCAATTCAACTCCTAGAGCAGGTGCTCGAAGTTTGCCTGGATTCAGTTTGGATTGAATGACACTTGGATGAGACGTACAGTCAATCATTCAAGGATGAGCTAACCAACCGGTAGTGATATCAAGTTACTTGTGGACCAAAAGTACTTGGTTGCTTATCTGTCTTTAGCACATTTTCACTTCCTTGTTAGTTACAATGGGAGAGGAAACAGCAGATCATACAAGAGATGTTTCTGCCCCAGATATGTAACCAATACATGCTGTCACACGTTTCACTGTATTTGTGGTCAGCTGGACTCATTATCCCTGTTAACACACAAGTGCTGCTGTACTTTAGGGCCTTGCATTTATACAAAATGTTACCTGATGAGATTAAACTGCCGTTGCTGGCCATAATCAGCTGATTTTTTGCTTCCATAGTCACTAGCTTTGAAACCTTTGGTGTTCCCATTTCTGTCAAATCCATGGCAATATCATCCAAACTTCTGGCTGAAGGAATTTTTGCCTGAAAGAGTTAAACAAATCACTGAGTTACCTCTAATTAACTTCAGAACATGGGGTCACAGAAGATGACATTTCACACCTCATCTCCCACAAAACTAAGGGCTAAAGCAACAGCATCACAGGAGCTGACTGTGCACTTGGCTGCCCCAGCATTCCTCAAACCTGTCCCCAAAGTCTGAACTGCCCCCGAACTCAAAACTTCTTCTCTGTTTGCACCGTGTTCAAAAAGAACATGAGAAAGAGACAAAAGAAAAAGCAGATTAAATACTGAAACATGGGAATTCCCTCTGCTGTGATTACACTTCCATAGCTCTTAATTGGAGGCAGCCTAAAATGGATCGAATAACAATACCATAGCTTAGACTGCTCAAAAAGCAGACAAAAACTATTTGTATTTTTTCTCTAGGGATTAGGTTATGCACGGAACAACATACACTGAAGGATATGTAGGAAAGGTGTTGAAGCTTAAGCCTACAGCAAAATGCCTTCTAACTTACTTTGCTTTGTTTTCTGTCCAAGTAGAACTGGTGTTGACTGATTGCCATTACCCAGATGGATTTGATCAGGGAAGTGTTTGCATACCAGGTTTGCACTACCAGTCCACTCTGACCAAAGGTCCTTCTCGAGACTGAAATCCTGAAGAGGTGAAAAGAAACACAACTTTAGGACAGGCCTCTGAGGTTTAAAGTCCCCAGAGCCTCTTTCCTAACCAGGCAAGGCTCACGGCCTTTATTTTAGAGATCTAAAAACCTGGACCTCCTTCTCCCCAGCACCCACTGCTGCTGCCTTTCCTCCCTCCTAACTTGCCCTCCGTTTTACAAAGCCAAAGCCCCTCCTGGTTGAACTTTATGGATCAGCAACAAGAAATTCACCCTGGGCAAAGGCTCTTCCTTCCTGGAAGGGAAGGCACAGAAAAGCAGCTGAGGGTGAGCTCCCTCCCTCACCCCTGGCATCAGTGCCACCGCAGGGAAGGGCAGGAGGTGCCCGCAGTTCTGCACTGCCACCTCCCATCCCCAGGCACTAGGACAAATGACTAACAGCCAGTCCTGGGAGAAGATTCATCCCACGGCTATCCCCTCTCCAGCCTCACCTGCGGGGATCGTGCACTTCCACAGCAAACTTCTTCTCACGGAAGTAGAGGTTTTCCAGTTGCTTCCATTGGAATAGCTACAAGAACGGGGAGAGAGCAGCAGAGCACGGTCACTCCAAGAATCACCAACCTTCTGCCCCACATTATTCAATTCCAGTGAGTTACAAATCCTGTGTATCTTCAGCTATGGCACAGACTCAGCAATAACATAGTAAGTGTACTGATATAAATGTAGGGGATGTCCCTAAATGCACACTTTTACGAACAATGCACTGCAACTTCTGGGTTTGGGCTGTGAAAGTATCTGCTTTTATCCACAGCACAATTAATGTCACTGCTGCATGTCTGCAGGGACCTTGGGAGGGTGGCCAAAGTCCTTTTCTCTCTGATTAAATGCAAAAGAACTCCAAACGCAGCAACTACAGGGATACCAGGAGTCTCTCTCCTCAGTCAGAACACCCCCAGGGAACGGCAGCAGCTGGGGGACAACCAAGACCTTTCCTTTCTGAAGGCGTGGGATTCAGCGAGACATTTCAGAACAGGGTAAAACACGCACAGAGAAGCAGCAGCTAGGGAAGGACTGGCCCCACAGCACACACTGCTGTAAGGAAACTGCTGATTTCCTGCAAAGTGCCAGCCAGGAGAGCACACTGAAGGAAACCCTCTGCGCCAGGGCTCAGCAGCTGCACCCAAGTGCTCGGGGTTTTGCATGAACCCGCCTGCTTTTTGTGCCAGAACCAGTGCCCTGTGGGGCTCACCCCGCAGGTTCTGCACCTCCTGAGCCCAGCCCCACAGGGCTGCTGCTCCCCTGCCCCTCGGTGCGGGGTCCTGCAGCAGCACGTCCTGCCCAGCACTACATGTGGGGGCACATGGACACCCGCACACATGTCCCCGAGGTGTCGCTGAAGGTGGCAGGGAGCAGCAGAGCCCCCTCCATCCCCCAGGAGCTCCAGGGTCGCTCTGCCAAGCAGCTCTTGCCAGGACCTGGCACCAGCAGCCCCAGAGCCCCGGCACACGCGATGCTCCTCACCGTGACACCCTGGCATGGCTGGGAACCAACACACGACAGCTACGGATGGGTCTCATGCTCCGTACAGCTCCTCTCATGCCACCACGCTCCCTCGTTTGAGAGCTGCCCTGGCAGGGCTGTACTGAGCACAGCCTTGCTCACGCCTGTGCGGGAGCAGCTCTGGCAGCGCTCCGTCTGAGCCCTTCCCTCTGCTTCGTTAAAACTTCCCTTCCTAGCACCACCACTCATTGCAAGATTCCGCCGCACGAAAAACCGCGGCGGGGCGAAATGCCATATAAATCCCAATAAATCACTTGCTGGGAGATCACCGAAGCTTTCCCCTGCCTCCTAACCACATTCCCGCACCGAGGAGAAGCGCCCAGCGCCAGCAGCGCCCTGTCCGCAACGACCCCCCCCTGCCGCCCCCTTCCCCAAAGCAGAAGGGTCCCCGCAGCACCCAGCGGGGTGCCCCTACCTGTCCCCGGCCCGCGGGTCCCGTCCCGCTGGGCGGCAGCCGGCGGCTGCCCAGGAACCCCCAGGAACCCGCAGGCACCGGGGTGGCACCGGGCGGGGCGCAGCGGGGCCGGGCTCCGCCGCTCGCAGCCTCCGCCCCGGCACCGCCACCGCCGGGCCCCGGGGCTCAGCCCCGGCCTCGCCGCTGCTCCGCCCCCCCGCAGGGGTGGGGGGTGCGCGTCCAGCGGCAGGGTTAAAAAGGGAAAAAAAAAAAAAAAAAAAAAGGGGGGGGAAAGGAAGGGGGAAAAAAGAACGACGGAGAAGGAAACAGGGAGAAATGGGGGAAAAAAATAGAAAGAAGGGGAAAAAGGAAAAATGAGAAAAATAGAAAAAAAATTAAAATAATGAAATTAAAGGAAAAAATAAATAAAATAAAAATAATAAAATCAACATAAAAAGAAAAAGAAAAAATAATAAAATTAAAATAAATAAAATTAAAATATTAAAATTAACATAAAAATAAAAAATAAAATAATAAAATTAAAGTAAAAAATAAATTTTAAATAAACAATAATAAATATGAAATAGTAATAAATAAGACAATGAATAAATAAAATGACATTAAAAAAGTCTTTACATGTCCTGGAAGTGGCTGGGGAGGGAGCGGAGCCATGCCCTGCTCACCCCCCCGCCCCCTGCCCTGCCCCCAAACTGCCCACAGATAAAAAGAAAATGGAAAGTGGGTGGATTTGAAACCATTTTTTGAGGGCTGGAAGAACAGTTTGGAAGAATTGAATTGTTTTTGCTGTGCATTTTCCCCGTAACCCAATGATTAGGTCTACCTGATCTAATGAAGGTTCTCCTTACCCCCTTCCCATCCTCTGATGTTGCCAGACCCTTACATGCTCATGGAAAACCCACTGAGCACGGGGGGGCTGCCTGTCGGACCCTATAAGTGGGATTTGGCCTGCTTAGGATTTGCTTCTTGGGTCTTTTTGGAGAAAGTGCAACACGACCCGATAGCACCTCACCAACCCCGCACCTCTCGGCATTAGGCAGGGCTCTGACCCCAGCCGCAGCTTTTGGAAGCACGGGAGCTTCACCTCCTGCACGCCTCCTGTGATCCTGCAGCACACAGAACAAAAGGATCGCCCTCCTAGCCCTCTTTCCCATGCAAAAAGAGCTTCTAATTGTAGTCTAACAAGACACGGAGCAGACACTGCCTGCCTAAGCAGTGAGACACCTTAATAGTGGATGCAGCTGGTTGTCAGCCTGGCCGATCTCGCATCCAGCTTTAAATAAAAGGCAGGGCTGGCTGGGCCCAGCAGCAGGAGCTGGGGAGTACGGCCCCAGCAGGACCACGGGCAGGGAGCTGGCATAGCCCCTGCCTCAAAAAACAGGCAAGAGGCGATTTGCTTAACTCACGTATCAACCTGATGCATTTAGTTCAAAAATCACTTTTAAAATATCTCTTTTTTTTTCAAGGGGATGGAAATCCAGAGAGGGGCCAAGCAGCCGAGCACTGCTCAGCGGCAGCTCCAGCCCCGGCACGCTTCCTGGGCCAAGAGCGATGGCAAATTCTCACCAAGAGCTCAATTACCTCAATTTTTGGTTTTCCACCCAAGGGATCTTTGCGTAAGGCAGCAGGGATGTGTGCGCCGTGCTGCAGCAGTCCTTCCCTCGGGAAGCGCTTTGTGGTACGTGCCGTGCCCGTAGGGAGGTGCAGCCACCGCCATCCCAGTAGCTTACTGGGAACAGCAATCTCCAGACAAATCTGGCGATTCAGACCAAGGAAACATAAAAGATTTCTGCCCGCAGGAATGCACCCCACCCCGATGAAGGAAATTACCACCCTGCCGGCAGGGCTGGAAGAAGGGCTGCGTTTCAGCCCCTCAGCAGCAGTTTGCTGGCTGGCACGCTGCCTTCAACTGAAATCTTTTTTTTTTGTTGTTGTTGTTGTTTTAAATTGCTCTGCCTGGCTGCAAAAGGAGGCATTTGAGGGGATGGCAGGAGAGCCAAGCTGCCCCACCTGCAGCAACTTCTGACAGAAGGAGGCAGACAGCTCTCACCTGTGCCAGCATAAATTGGCAGAGCTCACCCGGAGGCATCCCTCATCTCTTACATATTAAGCCAGCAGTCTAAAAGCCTCTTCAATCACATTTTTTCTCTAATGCACTGCGATCGGTCCTTGCCAGGTTCTCACTGGCATGGGCTTTAACAAGGATCAGCGATGTCTCAGCAACGAACAATGCGGCTGTCACAGAACGTGCGCGTTGTGGGCCACGAGCTCGAGCAACTTTCTGCACATCTGGAAGGAACTGAGTTTCAGAGCGGACTTGTAACAGCTCTGTGTTTATTTTAAATAATTATGCGAGCTTAGTATCTTATGTCTAAATCAATGGCTTCTCCTTGGTGAGAAATAAACATAGTAAAAGAAGTCTTTGCATGATTAGATCCGCCTGCTGAGAAGCCTGCACAAACCCTATTGTGTTCTGAGCAATTCAGCCAAGCAGGACAGAGAATTTACATTAAGCAAATGTTCTGCAAGGGAAAACTTTCAGCATCAGCATTTAGAACGTATATGTGGAATTAAAAGAAAAATATCATAAATATTACCCGTTTCAAAACCAGTGTGCTCTAACAAAAACACTCCTGAGAACATAATGTATTCAAGATGACCAGCATTAGAATTGAAATCCTTGCAGATCTGAAACAATACCAGAGCGAGATTACTTTTCCTCTTCAGACATTGGAGTTCATTTATCACCAGGGAGTCGCCCACAGAAACACAATGAAGTGGGAGAAAAGGTCCAAAAGCAAGCAGGCAGCCTTCTCAAATTCCCATTCCTCGGAGTATCACCACGCTTTGGCTGAACGCTGAATAAACTCGACCCACTCCACAGTGCACGCTCCAGAAACGAGGCAGGGCATTGTTTCTCTCACCAGGGAGAGGAATATGGGTGGAGATGAAAGGGAGAAGTACCCTGTTTTGAGACAGCATCTCAAGTTCTGCACCCTGGGACCCATTCTATGCATTTCCTAATCAATTCAGAAGAGACCTGGGATGGGATCTTGGCATGCCACCCAGACACCACTCCCCAGCAAGCAGGAGGCATTTCTCCAAGCAGGAGACATCTCTGTGTTAACTGCAGCTGAAGGCAGGGTATGTCTGCAGAGCAGGACTGCAGAGTTAATCCCAGGTCTGAGTTGAAACCTGAGCACGGGCTGCAAACCCAGGCTTTTTATGCCCTGTGAGACTTCGGGATAACAACCAACTGAGCCAGAGCGTAACCTCCAGCCAGTGTGGAGCCACAGCTTTTATCTAGGAAGAAAAAGACAATTTTCCTAAATGACACAAGAACAGCTCTCTGTCTTCAGTCTGGTACAGCAAGGCATTTCCCTCGGCTCCCATCACTTGCAGTCCAGGGCGAGCTGTAAAATTTGGGTCCACTTTGCTGGAAAACACTTCAAAAAATTACAAAGTTCCAGGAGAAACTTAAGATTGACAAAACTCCTTTCTCCAAACAATCTCAGGTTCACCAGCAAAATATCAATGGCTGGAATCAAACCTCCGCAGCCAGCGTGACAGAGGCAGGCAGACACAGCAGGTTCTCCTGGTCCAGCCCCGACCTACAACAACGCACGGGCGAATGGGCTGCGCTGCTCACGGGTGACTGACACGGCATGCACAAGCTTTGGCAAGGCAGATGAGTATCTGGGATTGCTTCATCTGGTTCTGTCTTGCAAGTTGTTTCCTGTGAAGAGCATTCAACCCTGGACTTCACGCCACAGTGTTGATCCAACAACAAAATCTTGGGATAACCACTGTGCTCCGAGGCTCATATTTAGGTCTCTTTGCCTGAAGACCTACTTGGACAAAGCCAAAAGGTTTCACTTTTTGAAGATTACCGTTGGGAATTGACACTGCATTAATAGATGCAGCTAATTAAAATATGCATATAGGTTTTCTTCTGAATGTGGATTTATCTCTGAACAGAAACCCGTGATCAACATGTTAAGCAAACGCAGCTACGGCTGGCAGCAGCCACGACTGTTGCACAAAAGGCACAAGGAGCAGAATAAAGCTGCCAGGTGGGAATTCAGGTGGAGCGCAGGCACCAACTCCAAGTTCCTACCTGAATCTTGGAAGCTTTCCCATTTCAGCAGGTACCACAGAGATTTACACAGCCAGAGATCACTTACCTTTAAAACTAGGAAAGGCCATCCCAGTCTCCATTAGATTTGACTCAGCCTTTCCCCGTTATTGAGTTAATTAGACATGTATATTTAAACATTCCTAGTTGGAGAAGTGGAGTACAAGTGGGATGCTCTCTCCCAGATGGCTGGGGATAAACACAACAGCAGTTTTTATCCACAACATAAACAGCAGGATAACACCAGCACATGGCAGTTGTGAGTTTGGCTCCATCTTGAAGAGGAAAGCAAGAAAATTCTGCTAAATCCAGCAAAACTAGCACTTCTGCTCAGACAGGCAGACAAAATTTACATGCCTATTCCGCTCTTGCTGTTTTGGAAAGGATGGTTCTTGCTGACTCCTTGCAGATTTTGACAAGCTATACAGACTCCTCTCTCTGAAAATATATTTTGATGCATTCATAAATGTGAACAAACAACAATGCTCGTTGAAAGCAAACTTCTGCCTGCCACAGCACTCGCAGCGAGGCTATATAGCTGCACTGAAACAAACGGCTGTGTCTTCAGCAGTTTAACTTCAGCGATTTTTGTCCCTTCCTGTTAGCACCAAACACAAATCTGCAAATCCATTGCAATACCACTGCTGTATAATACTAAAGCCGTATCCATCCTTGCTTTTTGAATCAGCTTATTGGCATTAAACCTTCCCTCTGCATTTAATGTCTTCTCTCCCACCTTCCCTTTTGATCTCTGTTCTACATTGTATAATTATAATTAGTGCGCAGCAGACAACTTTTACCATTTCCATTGTAACACTTCCACTGCAGAGGTGACCTTTGGGTGCTGTTTTTTTCTGTTTTGTTTCATTTTTTAATTTTATTTTTCCTAAACACAACTCCTGCTGCATTCAAAGGCAACGCCTCATAAGCAACTGTAGCAGGGTGTGACTTGTTATCTGGGTCCTGCTGACCTTAAAAAATTTTCTTAATCTGCCTGGTTGATGTTGTAAACTGAAATCCCACAAGCAGAAAAGTGCTTGGCCAAGCAATGCTTCTAGCCAGGCAGGATGTATTTTCTTGGAGAGAGTTGCTGGTCACAGCAGGACATCCTGGCTGGAGAATGGTCTGCGTTTGATCTGATTGGGAAAACCTTGTAGATGTTGTCTAAATATAGGCAAGTGCTCAAGAACAAGAGGAGATGCTTTATGTTCTTCTTCGACGATTGATGGCTGTATTAACATTTTCTAGGGTTTTTATTGTGTCACTCATTTCAGAACATGCATGGTAGGAGAGACCTAAAGAGCTTTACTGAACAAAGTGAAGGAAGGACTTGAGAGTTCAACCTTGGACACACGGGTATATAAGTACAGCACAAAAGAAACCAAGTCATAGCCTGCTCTGGAGAAAGAGAAGATCATGTTGGGAACTTGAAAGGGAATTGCTCTTCACAAGGAAGTTTTGTTAAGCCATGTTTTCTGGCACAAATACACTAAACATTATCATTTTGCAAATGTAAAATTCCCTGGCAGGAAGCACACGCTTCATGTGAACTCCTGCCCAGATCATTCCAGGGAACAGAAAACAGCAAGCTCCATGTCTGCATCTCCTTACAGCCTCAATGTTCCAGCAAAGACATGACCAAAAAAAAACCCCACACTATCCAACCCAACAGCACAGTTCCTGCACGTGCACCACTGTCTTTTCCCCACTGCCGACCCCTTCAAAGACTTCAGGGCTCAGTCCTGTCTCAGTGAGCCTTACACATCTACAGGACTGGATGAGTTCCCAACATATTGTGTGCTTGAGCAGCACAATGGATTTCCAGGGCTGCCAGCAGAAGAGCCTGTTAGGGCTGACTGATGGATGGCTGCGAGGGAGCCAGCAGTGGAATATGGGACCCTCTGCCTTGTTTCAACAACAGCTGAAGTTGTTGGCAGAGTTTACTCTGCAGGAGACACACTGGGGAGAAAGGGGGTGGAAAAAGAGCAGAACGACTTCCAGTGTTTGGCGTTTACTCTCAATCCCCCCTTAAAAGTCATTGCATCATGAAAACATACAATCGCCTACAAAGGCCTGCAGTTTCACACAGTTCTGCTTGTATTTCATGGACATCAGTGGATCTTCTCATTATTTTTCACACAAATTGCACCTTTGAAAGCCAAATGAAACCCTGCTCAAGTACAAGGCCTTTAGTTGGGGTTTGCAGAAGCCCGATTCCTTCACGCTTCTGTAGTTATCCCTGGAGACTGCCAAAATTCCTGTAGAGACCGTCCTGAGACCACCAAACTCAATACCACAAAGCTGCTGAAGGGAGCTGCTGGCTGTAGTCAGTTACTTTCCAGTATTTAACCAAGGGGGGGAGAATTTTTACTGCCTGGGTGCTAACAGGATTCTTCTGCCTCCAGCCCTTTGTCTTTTGCTCAGTTGTTTTATAAGCAATAGCTTAAAAAGGTACATAGTGGCATGCAACACCTCCCCACCAACCCAACAAATACAATGATATAAAAAAACTTACTTTTCTGGGCTTGACTTTGTCTTGTAAGTCGTACTGGCCTATCCCTTTATAACTTATTCCGAGCCACCAAGGGATTCCTTGTTTATCCTAAAAAAGGGAAGTCTGCATGAACTGTGAGCTACTTAAAAATTAAGCAATTCCAAGATCACAGCCTACTTCATTCTGTGACGAGTACAAGTAGGTAGGGAACAAGGACATTTTATGCAAACAAACTGATGTGAAGTGGATTGCTAAAGTGAATGTTGAAAATTTCTTCCATTGCCTTCTCAGGCAGAGGCAAGAAACTACATGGTGGTTGTGCAAAGTGGACAAAAAAGCAACAGCACTGTTGAAACAAATGGGTGTCACTCCTTGCAAGAGGTGGCTGTGAGGAGGAAAAGGTAAAGGAGAGAAAAAAAATGTGGCCAATGACTGCATCCACTAAACTCAGGCATGACACAGCTGCAAGAGGAGAACAGTGCAAACCATCAGCTTCCCAGGTACCACTGTCAAGGCCACGACTGAAAGTAAGGAGACATCACCTCTGCTGAGCTCTTCTGCAAAAACCACATTTGTCCAGTCTCTGCTCTACAAATGGAAATAAATAGTGTATTTCCATCACTCTCCAAAAATACTGTTCAACTATACAGCATTTTCCCACTCTACATGTGCACCCAATACTCGTTGCCATTTAGAAGCGCTTTTCTACATTGTATTTTTTCTAGTCTTGATTAGAAATGTCTCCAAAAATATTAATTGTCTCAAATCTAGAAGTGATATCCAGTTTAATTAAGCTGGTATGAATTTAGGTCCTAATAGCATGACTGAAGGTTTTCATAGAGGTTCCTTTTTGTTTTCTATAGCACGTAATGCCTTGCTTCTCTCTGAAAACATTTTAAAAAGAGAACTGGAGAGGGAAAAGGTATAGAGGTTGAAAAATGTGGGGTTTAATTCTGACAGACGGGTACTGAATCATCAAAATACTCCTTTAGGAATGCAATCACATGTAATAAGCCAAGCAATCACATTATCTATAGACATTTACTAACCTTTACTCCATAGTAATGAACTCCATATGTTGGCAAAGCTTCTACCACTCTCATGTACCTGTAGACAGATTTATAGTGTATCAGATGATTTTCTCTGGAGGAAATCATATCTATTAACATATTTTTTTTCACACATACATTCAGGACATGTCATTTATCATTTGCATATTTTGAAGACCTTAATGATTTAGTGCCCATGTTTTTGGAAAAAAATAGCACCCGGGCTCAGGGAAAGATGTGGTATTTTGGCCCAGATAAAGTAAATGGTAGATTTCTCATACTACAAAACATTCAATCTCCTATCAGAAGTTCAGAGAACTGAAAGCAAAACTTCCAATTCTGAACTGAATGTGCAAGTCTTTTGGGAAACATTGGCAGGAGAGATATGCCTATAATTATTTCATGATGGTGCTTTTGTTAAAATAGATAGCTTTCAAATGAGATTGTTTATGGAGTTGTAGAATTATTTCATGACGTAATTCAGACAACCACTGAAGAGATAATTTTTTCTCTGTTCCTGTTGGAAGAAACCCCTGAATTATTGGGACAAAGTTGCAGGCCCTAAGCTATGGGACAAAAAGAGCAAGTTGTCTACAATATGCAACTACAGCAATCATCTCAATCTTCTTGGTTCCCTGGGCTGTACTCATCCTGCAAGACCTTGTTTTTTGAAAACTAAATTCTGAGCATTTGAACACACATGCATTTGTTTTCCTTACAGAACTTAAGGTAACATCCTTAGACTAAGTGATAGCAAGCAGGGTATGGAGAAGGTTTTTTTGAATAAATAAGGCCCATATTGTTTCTCTTACGTTTGAGGTATTTGAAGGACAAGATACAACCTTAAGTGGAAATCTGTAACATCTAAAGCTTGAAATACTTTAAAAATATTACTCAGTAAACATAATTCTGACAGATACAAAAGGCAAAGTTGGCAAGCAATAATAACCAAAAGAGCCTGCATTGCCACTTCTCAACAAAACAGAATAAAGTTCGTAAAAAGATCATCTTCAGAAGTTAAGTGTCATACTCACTGAACAATGGCTTGTCCTCTGGTCAGACCTTTAATTTGTGTATAATGTTCAATTACTCTATCCTCACTGCAAAACAAGCAGAAAAAACAATTTAGAGGCTCAGTGACTTTTTTTCCCACATGTGATAGCATTTGTTGAAATTTGGGTGCCTGCTCAGCATGCAGAGAAGCGCCCCTCTGTACGCTTCTCACTAGTTTTCATTTTGTTTCTTGCTGATTTCTTTCCCACCTTTCATTAAGCAGTGTGGAGGTGTGGAGCTGCCTTCTAATCCCCACCACTGCATGCTGCGTTCCAGACTAATTACCAAATCATTTCAGATCAGCCTGCTCAACTGCAGATGCTGCTGCAGAATAATAGTACTAATTGTATAAATTCATTTTCACATTCTAAAGAAACCAAACTTCAAAGGATGGTTAGTGCTCCATATGTATGGCAGAAGTTGTTAAAACAAACATTTTCATTCTAGTGTATTCTTTTCACCTGACGTTTCATAGACAAAGAACTATAGATTTGTCAGCAGTGACATTTTTACATTTTTCCTGTTACATACTGTAACATTTTCTTTTAGTGGAATGAGAAATAAAATGTGCATTTAAGTGTCAGACACTTGAATGCAAAGAGAAACCAACAGTATTTGTTCTGAAAGAAAAAATCATAAACCTAAAAATGAAATAAGTGAGGGAGTCAAACTTGAATAAAGGGCATGAATTACAAGGAAACAAAATTATTCATTCATCCCAAACGTTGTATTCCTTTATGGTAGATTCAAGCCACAAAACTGGACCTGCCTTTCTGTTTCCACCTTTTCCATCTCATCTATTCCCCATCCTGTTGAGGAGTGAGAGCAGCTGGGTGGGCACCTGGCACCAGCCAAGGTCAGCCTACCACAGAGGCTCTGCTGTTTAGTAGTTGAAAAGGTGCTCTTTGCAAACACAGACTTGGCCGGGATTCAGATTCCATCTCTTTCTAATGCATAGTGCCCACTTACTTTGATCCAGCAATTTAATTTGAGCGAACTTTCAGTCAGGGATTTGCATCGGATCTTGTGTAATTTATAACCTTCTAAAATTGGAAATGCTTGAACACAAGCAATTAGCCGAGTCTTTTAAAACACAGGCTGAAAACTTTTAAAACATTTTACAAAACTGTTTAAAAGTGATCTTGTCACTACTACCCATAACAAAGATTTCCATTTTAAATGAATCGAACAGCTCACCAGTAAGCAAGCGATGGATGCTCCTGCAGCGTCTTGGTAGGGAAGACAGGCAGCGTCTTCAAATCTTTCCTAGTGTTTTCATCACTAAAAGCAAAAATGGCACAGAGTCAGGGCTGGTGAATCATTCATGCAAATTGCCGGTTTCAGCGGAAGGAAAGGGTTGTATTTGCTACCCAAGAACAAGGTGGATTGCCCCATATCAGGCCGTCATAGCAACGTAACTCTAGAGGCCCTCTCATGTGACAGTAATGTACATGGTGTCATGCAGACTCATGTTGTAACTCATTATACAGACACGTGATTATCGAGTTAGTCAGGCCACTGTGGCGGGAGTGTGGTATCAATATTTATTTTGCACACACTCAGTTTGCAAAGTACAGACTGAGCTCTCAACAGCTGCAGAAGGAAAGCTTTTGCCCAAAGGCAAGGCTTGCAGTGCTATTTTTGCTCTATCTTTAGCTAAAATCCTTTGCAGTAGACAATAAATTCCATGAAGCAGCATGGCATTTGTCAAATCTCAGAGTTTGACACAGATCCGATTCAAAACAAAGGATTTCAGTTCATACACTTTGAAATATTTTTACTGGAAGGAGTTTTCCTGGAGTTCACATTCTGCAGAAAGTTCAAATATTTTGGACTCTAGGCCCAGCCCCGAACAAAATACAGGGTGTTGAAATATGTGAATGCAATTTGTCACAAAACCAACAGCAAACAGCAGAATATTTTAAAACCTATTTGTAGGCATCAGTAAAATGGTAAATATTTTCTCCTTATATGCTCTATTAATTAATCAGCTGAAAGTTGCACGCCTCATTTCTGCAGGATTTCTGCATGCCTTCACAGCAGCAGGAGCAAGCACGAACACGACTGTTCTGTGAAAAGAATGCAGCAGTCATGTTCATTGGTATCTGCCTCGACTTCTGCAGCCAGGCTTTCCTTGAAGGTGTTTCCCTGCTCCCAAGCTCTGTTTTCATCAGCGTCCATTATTACAGATCCCTTCTGAGCTGCGTTGCCCCTCTTCTCTCAAAGTGACTTAGGTGCACCTGAGGAGCAGATATCAGCACAGAAACCTGCTCTGACACCACACATGATCCACCGCAGGTGGAGGAGGCAATGGAGGTGCACTGAACCACTCACACCTTCAGTCTCACAGCAGATGTCACATGGAAGGCGCAGTAAATTAAAAGTTTTTGTGCCTCCAGCGAGCGCAGGCTAATTGCTCTCCAAGCTTCTTCCCCCAGCCCTGACAATGCACCTCAGCCCTGACTAAGAGGGACCACCTCTGGGGACCAGGAAACAGTTCAATCAACAGCCTATTTATTCTTCAGCGCCTTTGATGAAGTTGCCAAGAAGGGGGGTGGTCAATTAGCACGCAGGAGCTGTTGTTTCTGAGCTCTGCAGCCGGAGCTCTTCTGCCAAGAATATGCACTTTTCTTTGCAAGCTGGCCAGCTCCCAGCTGCCACAAATGGGGACATCTGGGTAGAAAATCAGGATCTCTCCTCTCAGTGCTCATAGGGCTAGCGCTCACAAAAGCAAAAGGGGTTTTTATTCACCCCTTATAAGCTGGTTGATGGTACCGAAAGGCTGCAAAACATCCTAGCTTGCAGCACAGAGACAGGTTACCGGGGCTTTGTAGGGCCACGTGAAAATGCAGACAGATCTCACCCTCCTGAGGTCTCCGAAACCAGAGTGAAAATAAACCAAACCAAAAAGACCATCCTAAAGCTAAACAAAGCAAAACAAAAAGAAAAAAGAAAAAAGAAAAACAAAAAACAAAGCCCTGAGCAACCTGGTCCTAACACACAGCTGACCCTTCTCAGAGCAACAGGCTGGGCTAGATGACCTCCTGAGCTCCCTTCCAACTCAAATCATAAACTCAGGATAATTTATTATTAAAATAAAGATTTCCTACTATTTTAAGCCTGACTCATAACTGTAATGGCTGCATTAACAGACAGGGCTGGCAGGGAAATACAGTGAAGTAGGAGAGGGTTTCAGAAGGAAGCGATAACAGAATAGCTCATTTTTACCACACAAAAGGGTTGTTCCTCTAAATATATAGGTTCTCAACACAAAAGATTCATAATCAGAGGTTTAATAGCAGGTCCCTGACCCCCCTATGTAGAAGCCTCGTTGCCGGTGAACAACAAAACGCCCAAGCAAGGGCTGAGGCAGTGACGAGGCTGATGCTGGGAGATGAGAGCTGAGCCCCATGGGTGCAGCCCCCTCTCTCTTGTCCCACAGCAGGGCAGGGCCACGGGTGATGCCTGAGCTGCCACCACAGCAGCTCGGTCAGGAGGTCCCAAGCTCTCCTTCACCAATCGTTACGGCATCAGCAGCCTCCAAGGCACCATTTTTCCGCAGAAACGCCACCAACCTCAGCAGCCGTGTTCTACCACGCACGGAAATGCCACATTATGTCCCACATGTTGGGACATCGGTGACTAAAGGGCTGCCATCACTTCCGAGGCGGGACCCACCCCTCCAGCGCCGACCCAGAACCGCGGGCCCTGGGGCAGTTCGTTCGCAGGCAGAGCCCAGGGAGCTGTGACGACTTTTAGCGGAGCTGGAGCTTCTCTGTTCTCCTGCCAACCTGCAAATCTACCCAACGTCTCGTAATAGCAGCAAATACGCTCCTTTTAGGAGGCCAAGTTGCCCCTTGGGACTTGCCTTGCTGAAGGGACCTGACCTCGTAGCTGGTTCAAACGCAGTCACGTCTCATTGATCTGCAGCTCTGCACCCTATCAAAATGGACTTATAAGGCCTGAACGTCTCCGAGAAGCCACATGAGAATTTTATTTTTTTTTCCTGCATAATCCTGAAATTAAGCATGAAACAATCCTAGAAAAATGCGAAAGACCTGGAGAACAGGGCACAGCGCCTCGCACGCTGAACGCCTTCAGAGCAGGCTGGCACTCGGCAGCACAGATCTGCTGACTGCGCACCCAAGGATTAGCATTTGGGATGATTCACAGCTTCGTGGATAATAAAAGCCTCAAGTGGACCTCTTCCCTCCTTCACCAGAGTTCATTATCACTTCATCTGCAGAGAGGAGACCAAGCACGTCTCCCCTTGACCCTCGGGATCACTTTCCCAAGCCCTCTGAGCCCCAGCCATTCCCCGGAGGTGACGACTGCAGATAGCAGGAGCGACGGCTTGAATTATTACCTGTTCCTGTTTAGTTTCACAACAACCACAAGGCGATGCAGAAATCAGAGGGCAGCCAGCCCTGGCTCCAGCTGCCCTGCCACCCAAACAGCCGCCCAGGCGAGAGGACAAGTGTGGTGCTCGGCTGCGGCCAGTGGCTCAGGGCAGCTCTCCTCAGAGCCGCAGCAGGCCCAGGCCAACGGGACCGAGAGGGCCCCGCTCGCTTTTTGTCTGACCCCAACTACAGAGGGGGCTTCTTGACTGGTGCTTCTTGGCAGAAGGCCCACACGTAAACTTTAAACCGCCCAGAGTCAACGGGACTGAACATTTTTGGCAAAAAGGTTTGTTTATTTCCCAGGAGGGGAATCTAAGAGAACACTAGTCTCAAGTATTTTTCCACTATGGAGAAGAATGAAAGAAAACAAGCTGATAGACCCTTTCCTTTCCATTCCGCCCTCTAAAGGGGAGTTTCCTCCCCAGCAGGTACCGAGCAGAACTTGAACTGCTGTAGGCAATGTACATGCAAATGTACACCAGACCCTCCTCACACCAAGCCTTAGCTTTCATTTGCGGTATTGTGTGTTTGATTTTCTGCTCAGTGCCAGCTCTACAGGGACTGAAGGGCCTAAATAACGTCTCTAAAATAACCAATTGCAATATTTAACCACACACTGTACTATGAATAGAAGTTCCCACATCCAAACTACTATCTTTAGCAGGAACCCAGTACAGATCCTATGTGCTTCCTACAGCCTGCTGACCTGCCAGGGAAATGTGAGGTGTCTAAAACCCCACCAGAAAACTTGGTTCCTGAGGGGGGAACCAAGTCAGACTACCATGGCACGCTCTGCTGAAAGCACATTACTGAAAATTAAAAGAGACATATTTATGCTCCCAGAAAGTGTATCCTCACAGCTTGTAATAGCATGATACAACACTCCCTGCCAGGCAAAGATTTAAAGAACTGTGCTAATTAAGACCATTTGTTAATGGCTGCCCGGGCTTTTCCCTGCGCCCACCGTCACAAACAGCTTATGCCTGCTGCTAATGCAGTAATTCAAGGCAACAGACATAGATGTAATAAGACGTGGTTAGTGAGATTAACATAAAATGTGAAAAGCAATAGACACACCCACAGCAGCAAAGGCAATATGTTGGACTAAATCATAAAAAGTTAACCCGCATCTTCTTTGTAAATATTAATACATCGATAAGAGTAGGACTTCAGACAACTTTTAACTGACTGAAGTGACGGCAGGTGTGTGCCTCTACCGAACCGTGTTGATAACACTCTAGTAGGCAGGAATTTATCGCTGGGGCAAGTTCACTGTACAGTGATTTTCCTCTGTTCTCGAAGCCTCTTGTCCTCACGTAAATAGTGGCTCTTATACTTCTGTGTGATCATTAGAAAGCTTCTGCCGGGTCCTTCCGAATGTGACTGCTTTACATTTGGTTTGTTCTTGTAATGAACTTTAGGCACACCACCAGTGGAATTTAGAGTGGCCTTGTTTTTAGAAAATACCGACCAACCGCACAAGTTAACCAGAAAGCTGTTTCACTGACACCAACAACCAGCAGCCACTTCTGAGAATTGCATGCAAGACAGAGAAACGTGCAGCTCCACAGCTAAAGAAAAATACAGCATTTCCCTGCACTGTGAAGATGCGTCAGAAATTTTCCACTAAGATTTTTCCTTCTTATTCTCTTCAAGATGTTCGGAGCTAGTAATATCAATGATTAAAGACTAAGTGCACAAGAACATCCCATGCTGCTGCCTGCACCCAGCCTGGTCCCACAGTGGGCAGATTGAGGGTGGCATCACCGAGGTCTCCACGTTGTTCCCCTTCCCTTCGACCTTAGCTGACAGGCAGCAACACGGGCTGTCACATTGCAGCTGGACTGCTTCGGCAACAGGTGCATTTCCTGCAGGTTTTTG